TGCACGGCTCAAAATTTCAAAATACAGGCTGGTTAGTTACTCCCTACCTGAAAGCCTTCATAGGTGCCCCTTGGCTCTTCTGCCAGTATCAAAACTTTTGAAGGCCTTAAAGGCCCTGCTTGCCTGGCCCATCTGTCTCTCCAGCCTCACCTTGAACTGTGTTCCTGTCACTGCACGCCAGTCACACAGGCCTCTAGGTCCTCCAGTAGGCCACACTTCTTTCTAGCACAGGGACTTGCACACTTGGAGTGCCCTTCCTCCCCCACTCACCTGTTCACCCTTACTCTTCCTTTACACCTCCTCCTCAGGGAAGCACCCACCCTCCGTACGTGTTTCACAGCCCTGATTGCAGCTGTGTTCACTCACCAGGTACCTGCAGAAGGCCTATAGGGTGCCAGGCACTTCTTTAATGTGTTCTTTCTTTATGTGATTATTTGATTAATCTCTGCCTCCCCCATTAGACTGTAAGCTCCCTGAAGGCAAGAATCCTGTGCTCAATATTAGCTCTCCCTTGGTACAGAGTAGGCATTCAATAAATGTTCCCCAAAGGCTGAGTGGCTGACTGAATTAAAGTACCAGTGACATGCAGTAACTGCTAAGATAGATGAGCCACCTGTGTGCTCTGACAGTTATAGACTGAATAAGTTGGAGACTTCCCTAAAAGGTGGCATTTCCACAAGGTAACAACACAGAGCTCAGACGTAGGAAGGTGCCAGGGGCAGGGGTGCAGAGGGGCTGGGGCTGAGGGTGGGTGAAGAGGCTGGAGACAGGATAACAGGAGAGAGTATACAGGCATGCCTCAATTTATTGCACTTTACAGGGAGCAGAATTTTTAAAGAAATTGAAGGTTTGGGGACATATAGGTGACAGCAATAGGTTAAGAAAAGTGAAGCAAAGAAATTGAAGATTTATGTCAACACTGCTTTAAGCAAATCTATTGGCACCATTTTTCCAACAGCATGTGCTCGCTTTGGGTCTCTGCATCGCATTTTGGTAATTCTTGCAATATTTCAAGCATTTTCATTGTTATTATATGTGATCTGTGATCAGTGATCTTTGATATATTATTGTAATTGTTTTGGGGTGCCATGAACCGCACCCATATTACATGGCAAACTTCATGAATAAACGTTGTGTGTGTTCTGACTGCTCCATCGACCAGCCGTTCCCCCAAGTCTCTCTCTCTCTTAGGGCCTCCCTATTCCCTGAGACACAACAATACTGAAATGAGGCCAGTTAATAACCCTACAGGGGCCTCTAAGTGTTGAAGTGAAAGGAATAGTCACACATCTGTCACTTAAAATCAGAAGCTAGAAATGATTAAGCTTAGTGGGGAAGGCATGCTGAAAGCCAAGACAGGCTGAAAGCTAGGCCTTTTGCACTAAACAGCCAAGTTGTGGATGCAAAGGAAAAGTTCTTGAAGGAAATTAAAAGTGTTACTCCAGTGAACACATGAGTAACAAGAAAGTGAAACAGCCAGCCGGGCGTGGAGGGTCACGCCTCCCAGCACTTTGGGAGGCCAAGGTAGGTAGATCATGAGGTCAGGAGTTTGAGACCAGCCTGACCAACATGGTGAAACCGTGTCTCTACTAAAAATACAAAAACTTAGCCAGGTGTGGTGGTGCGCACCTGTAATTTCAGCTACTCAGGAGGCTGAGGCAGGAGAACAATTTGAACCCAGGAGGCGGAGGTTGCTATGAGCTGAGATCATGCCATTGTATTCCAGCCTGGGTGACAGAGCAAGACTCCGTTTAAAAAGAAAAAAAAAAAAGGTGAAACAGCCTTATTGGTGATATGAAGAAACTTTAGTGGTCTGGATAGATCAAATCAGCCAAAATATTTCCTTAAAAGTCAAAGCCTAATCTACAGCAAGACCCTAACTCTCTTCAGTTTTATGAAGGCTGAGAGAGGTGATGAAGCTACAGAGAAGTTAGAAGCCAGCAGAGGTTGGTTCGTGAAGTTTAATGAAAGAAGTTTAAGAAGCCATCTCCATAACATAAAAGTGCACGGTGAAACAGCTCATGCTGATGTAGAAGCTGCAGTAAGTTATCCAGAAGACCTAGCTAAGACAATTGATGAAGGTGGCTCCTCTAAACAACAGATTCTCAATGTAGACAAAACAGCCTATATTAGAGGAAGATGCCATCTAGGACTTTCACAGCTAGAGAGAAGTCAATGTCTGGCTTCAGAGCTTCAAAGGACAGGTGTTAGGGGCTAATACAGCTGGTAACTTTAAGTTGAAGCCAATGCTCATTTACCATTCCAAAAATGCTCAGGCCCTTAAGAATTATGCTAAGTCTTTAATGTGGCGTGGTGGCACATGCCTGTAGTCATAGCTACTTGGGAGGCTGAGGTGGGAGGTTCGCTTAAGCTCAGGAGTAGAAGGCTGTAGTGAGCTATGATCATGCTATTGGACTCCAGCCTTGGTTATAGAGCAAGATCCTGTCTCTAAAAAGAAAAAAAAAAAAAAAAAAAAAAAAGGCCGGGTGTGGTGGCTCACACCTATAATCCCAGCACTTTGGGAGGCTGACTGAGGAGGATCACTTGAGGCCAGGAGTTCGAGACCAGCCTGGCCAACATGGTGAAACTTCATCTCCACTAAAAATACAAAAAAAATTTAGCTAGGTGTGGTGGCGCACACCTGTAGTTCCAGCTACTCGAGAGGCTGAGGCAGGAGAACAGCTTGAACCTGGGAGGCAGAGGTTACAGTGAGCCAAGATCGTGCCACTGCACTCCAGCCTGGGTGACAGAGCATGAATCTATCTCAAAATAAATAAATAAATAGAAAAGAATACTAATTTTACCCTGCCTGTGTCCCTGTGCTCTGGAAATGGAACAAAGTCTGGACAATAGCACATCTGTTTACAGCATGGTTTACTGAATATTTTAAGCCCACTATTGAGATCTACTGCTCAGAAAAAAAGTATCCCTTTCAAAATATTACTGCCCCTTGACAATGCACCTAGAGATATACAAGAAGATTAATGTTGTCTGCATGGTTGCTAATACAGTATCCATTCTGCAGTCTGTGAATTGAGGAGCAATTTTGACTTTCGAGTCTGATTATTTAAGAAACAAATTTTTGTAAAGCATGAGTTGCCATACATAGTGATTCCTCTGATGGATCTGGGCAAATTCAATTGAAAACCTTCTGGATAGGATTCACCATTCTAAATGCCATTAAGAACATTTGTGATTCATGATGGGAGGAGGTCAAAATATTCATGCTAACAGGAATTTGGAAGAAGTTGACTCCAACCCTTATGGATGACTTGGAGGGGTTCAAGACTTCAGTGGAGGAAGTAACTGCAGATGTGGTAGAAACAGCAAGAGAACTAGAATTAGAAGTGGAGCCTGAAGATGAAGCTGAATTGCTGCAATTCATGATAAAAGTTGAACGGATGAAGAGTCGCTTATGAATGAGCAAAGAAAGCAGTTTCATGAGATGGAATCTACTCTTGGTGAAGACGCTGTGAGCATTGTTGAAACGACAAGAAACGATTTAGAATATTCCATAAACTTGGTTGATAAAGCAGTGGCACGATTTGAAAGAATTGACTCCAATTTTGAAAAAAGGTTCTACAGTGGGTTACATCTGTCAAACAGCATTGCGTGCTATTGAGAAATCTTTTGTGAAAGGAAGTCAATTGATGTGGCAAACTTCACTGTTGTCTTATTTTAAGAAATTGCTACAGGCACCCCAACCTTCAGCAACCACCACCTTGATCAGTCAGCAGCCATCAACATCAAAACAAGGCGCTGCACCAGTGAAAAGATTATGACTCACTAAAGGCTCAGATGATATTAACATTTTTAGCAATAAAGTATTTTTTAAATTAAGGTATGTGCATTGGGCTGGGCGCTGTGGTTCATGCTTGTAATCCCAGCACTTTGGGAGGCCAAGGTGGGAGGATCACTTGATGTCAGGAGTTCAAGACCAGCCTGGCCAATATGGTGAACCTTTGTCTCTACTAAAAATACAAAAATTAGCCGGACATAGTGGTGCACGCCTGTAATCCCAGCTACTAAGGAGGCTGAGGCAGGAGAATCGCTTAAACCTGGGAAGCAGAGGTTGCCGTAAGCTGAGATCACGCCACTGCACTGCACTCCAGCCTGGGCAACAGAGTGAGACTCCGTCTCAAAAAAAAAAAAAAAGTATATGCATTTCTAGACATAATGCTATTGCACACTTAGCTACAGTATAGTGTAAACATAATTTTATATGCACTGAGAAAAACAAAAGCGGTGTGACTCACTTTATTGCCATATTAGCTTTATTGCTGTGGTCTGGAACCCAACCCTTAGTATTTTGGGGGTATGCCTTTACTCAAATGGGGCCCACCAGAGCAGAACCATCAGGGTCTAGAGTAGGAGTCAGGTGATGACTTTGAATCCCAGGTTTGTAAGGAGTGTGACTCACCTTATTAACTCGTTAGCGGATTAACTGAGTCCCCAGAGTCCTCCAGGAGGCTAAACAGTTGGGGGTCGAGAATAGAAACCTAGCACCACACCAACTGGATGGGTTTTTCTAGACCCCTTCCACCAGGTGCCCTCTCCTTACCGGACAGGTGGGTGGACTGTGGAGAGCGGACCTGCCCCCACCTGGATTCTCCCTGATGTCCTCCGACTGCCCACTACCCCGCACCCGCCGAGTCCGCCCCGCTCCCCCGGGCCCAATTCCAGGATGCTTTGGATTGCCCGCCCTCGCCCTATCCTTGTCCCCGCTGCCGTCCTAAGATCCACTCGTTTCCCTCGCCATGGCTCCGCTCAGGTCCTGGGTCACCCTAGCCCTTCTCCCTTAGCACAGGTTCGGCCAGCCCTGGCCCTCCTGGGCCCATCAGCTCCTGCGATCTTTGGCCGCCCTAGCCCTGCCTGCTCCGCCGGGCCCTGCCCGCCCCTCCGGCTCTCGCTCCGCCACCCGCCCTCCCGGGCTCTCCCCTCGCCTTGCTCTGCCCTGCGGCGCCCCCTGTCGGCCCCGCGTGCTCTCTGCGGTTGCCCCTTTCTCTCGGGCCCTCCCGCCTCGTGCGGTTGTCTTGGAGAGGGACGCGTAGGCGACGCCACCCCGGACCGGTCGGATCCGGTCCCTGGACGCGGAACAGAGATCCCCTGATTCAGCCACCCCCAGAGTGAGCCCCATAGAGTGCGGTCCTACCTTCCCGCCCCGACGAAGGTCCCAGAGACGCTGCAGACAACACCAGCATGTCGAGCGAGCAGAGCGCGCCGGGGGCCTCACCCAGGGCCCCGCGTCCGGGGACCCAGAAGTCTTCCGGCGCGGTGACCAAAAAGGGAGAGCGCGCGGCCAAAGAGAAGCCGGCGACTGTTCTGCCTCCCGTGGGAGAGGAGGAGCCCAAAAGCCCTGGTACGCTGGCGCCGGGGTTGGGTGATCGGGCCTCCAGGCTACGTCTTCCCGGGGTTCCCACTAACTACTCACTGCTCGATGGCTATGGCTGAACTCATACATACCCAGGTTGAGTTCCTGCATCTTGGCTTGATAGATGTTTGAATTGAACTTGATCTTAAAGAACCCACACTCTGGTTTGGGATGGTGACAAATACCAGTAAGATGGGATAAGATATAGAAGAGAGGAAGGCCCGGGGGTGAGGGCACCAGGGGGGTTGCCAGGAGGTCTCTTTGAACAGAGTTTACAGATGTTCATTCATTGATTCAACAATTACTTTCCAAATGCCAGCCATGAGGCCAGGTATGTCAGGGAGGAGAATGAGATGGACATGGTCCTGCCCCCATGGGGTTTACATCCTCTGGGAAAGGAAAACGAGTAGAATGGTATAAGTAGATGTACGGCCCTTTTTGATGTAAGTGATAGAACCCCAATCAAACTAAGCATGAAGGGGAAATGTATCAGAAGACTTTTTGATACAAATCTGCCAGCTTCAACATCACGGGGACAAGAACTTGCTGTCTCTGGAATCAGAGTAAAACAACTTGGGAGAAAGCTCTGATGGTCCAGCATTAGCCAGGTGCTATCTCCTTGTCAGTGCTGGTGGATGAGGGGAAGGAATTATAAGAGCTGGAGAAAGAACATCTTCTGGAAGGGAAGACAAGACAGTATAGAATCCCCTACAAGTATGAAGCCAGTTACATTCAACACACACACACGCACACACACACAAAACGATGGCTGCTGTATAGAAAACGGGGTGGAAGGAGGCAGAGAGATGAGTTACCAGACTATGTCAACAGCCTAGTCCGGGGACAGTGGGAGTTGGGATAGGGCAGTGAGAATGGTGAGGGGTGGTTGGGTTAGGCCTCTCAAAGAAACACTTTTGAGGTAGAAGTAATAAGAGTTGGTAAAGGATTGGACAGGGTAGGGAGTGAGCGACATAGCAAGAATGATTCTCAGGCTTCTGGACCGGGCACTGGGTAGGAGGAGGTGCCATTCATGGAGATGGGAAAGCCCAAAGGAGGTGCATGTAAGGCAGGAGCTCCAAGGGGTGATGCCAGCTGAACAACTGGACACACGGGTCAACAGTGACTAAGATAAGTTAAGGGTGGAGTTGTGACTTTGGAAGCTGCTGATGTTCTGGCATAGTTAAGTCCTGGCAATGAAAGAGACCCCATAAGGAGGCAGGGAGTATAAACAGAGAAGAGGAGAGGGCTCAGGATCCAGCCTTACAGGTACTAGAGGATGAGGAGCTGGCAGGGGAGCCTGAGCAGCCAGCAGAGAGGTAGGAGAGAATGGGAGTGACACCTGCACAGGCACCTGGGTAGGACAACATGGAGGTTACGGTGGCCTTAGCAGACATCACTGTGTGCTGTGGCAGGGGCAGATGTGGGCTCGTGTCTGGTAGAGAGTGATGGCTGATATAGGAAAGTGTAGGGATTTAGAGGACATCCTATCTAATGGCTTTAATTCTCAAGAAGCTACAGGTGAGATCATTAGCGAGCATGAGCAAGGGATGGGGGAGGGAGCAGAGCTGTGCTGTCTGACAGGTAGCTACCTGCTAAAGTGCAGAGAGAACCCATTTCCACCGCGGCATGAAGTACTGTGGGGCAGCACTGTTTTACAGCAGGGCTTCTCAAGGTGCCGTCCTTGGACCAGCAACTTCAGCATCATCTGGGAAGTTGCTAAAAATGCAAAATCATGGCCCTCACCTGGTCTACAGAATCAGAATTTCTGTAGATAGGGCCCAGGAAATTTGTTTCAACAGGCTCTCCAGGTGATTTTTAAGATGTTAAAGCTTGAGAATCTCTGTTCTTGAGAAGGGAGGTATGAGTGAAGCAAGGACGCATGAGGGGCTCTCCCAGCAGATGTAAGCTTGGGAGGGCAGGGAGGTGTGCAGGAGCCAGCCAGACCAAGGGGACATTGCAACCTCCCTATGCCCGCTTATCTGTTTCATCCATTTGGCTGTGTGCCTGGGTTCCCACTGATGGCCGGACACAAGAGGAACATGTCTTTCATGCCTCTCCCCATGAACCCTCCAGCCTCTCTGCATCCTGCCAGCCCCACCACGCCCTCAGGCAAGCTCCCTACTGCTGAGCTGCATGTGTCACTCCCCCACGCAGCTCCTGCAGCACCTGCCCCTGTGGCCAGCGTGGTGTTCTATGGAGCTCCAGTCTAGCACTTGGCAGGGACTCCCGTCCCATCTCTAGGAGGCACTTCTTCCTGGGATGCCCATGGTGGGCAGCCAGAAAGTGCAAGTGTCCCTTGAAGACTCAGAGTCTCAAGTTCGCATAGCACAGCCCTCATGTTGGGATGTGGTGGGCATGTGTGAATGACTATAACTCACAAATGAGTTAATATTTCTAAAGCATTTCAAACAGCACTGGACACTAGGAAGTGCTATATAAACACACTGGACAGGGGAAGTGTTAAATAAAAGTATCGTTCTGCTGCACTTGGGTGTATGTGTAGGGAAGGAGTGGGAGTGGAAAGGAACTCACATCGGGCCTGCGCTTCTTTCTCCCAGGGACCCTGAGCAGTTCCAGCAGGAAAAGAAGTCTTGTGAGGAGGAGGCTGGGCTGGGGACACCTGGGAAAGGCGGAGGCCCAGGCTGGGAGTGGAGAGCAGGGGTGGCAGTGGCTTTGACCTGGGAGTGGGAAAGCCAGCACACAGAAGAGGCGACCCCGTTGTCTACCGTGCACGCATGCCCCTTAATCCCCTTTCTCCGAGCTCTTGCTTTCCCCGTTTCCTATCAAGTGTTTTCAGCGTCCGTTCTTCCAGGCATTTGCAAGTTGAATGGCTGCAAAAATATCCATCTGAGGAGGGCCCCTCCGCTTGCGCGGGTGAGCTTGGGGATGCGGGGGTGGGCGCGGACCCTTCTCTCACACCCCCGCCCGCCCCCGCAGAGGAGTACCAGTGCACGGGGGTCCTCGAGATCGACTTCGCCGAGCTCTGCACGCGATGGGGCTACACGGACTTCCCCAAAGTTGTCAACCGGCCCCGCCCCCACCCACCCTTCGTCCCCTCCGCGTCTTTGTCGGAAAAGGCCACCCTAGGTGAGTGACAGTGGAGCTCCCCGGTGCCTGCCAGGGTCGCTTCGTCCATCCTCAGCCTCCCTTCCCACTCCGGGCCAAATGGAGGGACGCGGGGCCGTGTGTGTGTGAGTTGGGGGCGGGGGGATTCGACGAGGCCGGTGAGGAGGTGGAGGAGTCTCCCGTCTTCCTTTCCAAATCCCAGCAGAGGCGCGCGTGGCCGTAGAGGCAGCGCCCGCAGGCCGGCGCCTCCCGCGCTGGCGGTGTCCTCCAATCCCACCCGGGCACCCGTGGGCCGGCCCAGCGTGGAGCCTGGGGAGGTGGCTGTTCCCCTCCCCCCTCACCTCTGCCTTCCAGACGATCCGCGGCTGTCGGGGTCCTGCAGCCTCAACAGCCTGGAGAGCAAATACGTGTTCTTCCGGCCCACCATCCAGGTGGAGCTGGAGCAGGAGGACAGCAAGTCGGTGAAGGAAATCTACATCCGCGGTGAGCCCCGCTCCCCCCACCTGCCCCAGTTCCCTCCCGCTCCCCTGGCGCCTCCCAGGTCTGAGGCGCCTGCCTCCTCTTGGCCCGTAGGTTGGAAGGTTGAAGAACGGATTCTGGGTATCTTCTCTAAATGTCTGCCCCCACTCACCCAGCTACAGGCCATCAAGTGAGAGGCACTGGGAGGATGGGCAGGAGGCCAGAGTGGGAGTTGGGGCTCCTGGTGGCTTGGGAGAGAGAACCAAGGGGCATGGGAGACCCTGGAGACGGTGGAGAGGTGGGAGGTGGGGGATGAGGAAGGGCGCCGCTGGGAGGTCGGTGTGGGGAGAGTTTTCCAGTAGGAGGCAGCGCTCTAGCTGTGTTTCTGCACTTACCGCCCACGCCAGCTTTTGGAAGGTGGGGCTGACGGATAAGACCCTGACCACCTTCATCGAGCTCCTGCCTCTCTGTTCATCCACGCTCAGGTCAGCAGAGGGAGAGGCCCCCAGTGCCTGGGCAGCCTGGCTGGGCGGGTGGTCAGAGGGAAGCAGTGTGGGGATGGAAGTGGCAGGTCCCAGCTCTTGTGGGCCTGGCTGGCATCCCTGTGGAATCAGAAGCAGGCAAAGTCTGTTGGATCATGATACCCCCATTAGACAAGAAGCCAGGTCCGCTTTTCTGCCCACACCAGCACCCAAAGAACCTGACCTTCAGGGGCTCATCCTGTCTCCCCTGCATTAGTCTCATTACCCTCTACTCCCTCCCCAGAGGTTCTCGCTCTCCTTCCTGGCTGCCTGGGGCCCTGGTCCTGTACTAGGGGCTGGTAAGGCAAGTTCTTATCCTCCAGGAACTCACAGTCCAGGGAGGGAGAGAAAAGGACAAAAGAATAAATACTGCAGGGCAATGTGGAGACTGGTGATGGAGGACTAGTTCATCGGGGGAGGGAGTGGGCAGAGAGAAGTGCCACCCCACTTTATGGATGTGGGGCAGGAAGACCTGGAAGACTGCCTGGAGGAGGTGGTACTGAGCTGAAGGAGGCCTAGGAGCAGGCCAGAGAGGGAATTGGGAAAGGGCATACTTGTATGGGAAGGAGCAGGAGCAAGGCATGGGGCAGGTAACTACAGGTGTGGTTGGGAGTGTAAGGGGCAAGGCTGATTTGGTCCTGCCCCTTCTCTAGGCTCCCACATAACCCTGCCTCTTGCTTCATGGGGGGGTACCCCTCCGTGCAGTGGCTTGCCTGTCTTCCTCCTGTGGATGGCATGGATGCTCCTTGAGGGCAGGGACTGTATCTTCTTCAGGTTGGGCTCCCCAGCACTCTGTAAAACACCATGAAACACGTTTCATTCCATCATGGGAATTAGCTAGCAGAAAACAACTATATGAATTCATCTGTAAATAATGTGTACGAGTAAGTCATAGCAACATATACAAATTTAAACTGAATGTAATCAAGTTTGTGTGACAGATGAGGCAGGCTGAAAGGTTGAACAAAATAAGAAATCATGGGAGCAAATTTTTACATGGAGTCATTTCTAGCCATTAGTTCAGTTTTTGCTGTAACTTAGAAAAGGACCTCCACTCTCACAGCACTGTTAGAGAAGCCACTGCCGTGTGGGTGCTCATGTTGTAGTTATCTCTTGCTGTGTGACAAATTAACCCCAAGATTCAGTGGCTTAAAAGGACATACATTTATGATCTCATAGCTGCTGTGAGATGACCTGGGGGTGGGCTAGCTGAGTGCTCTGGCTCAGGGTTTGAGGTTGCCGTACAGCTGCCAACTGGGGCTGCAGTTACCTCAAGGATCAACTGTGGTGGAGAATCTGCCTCCAGGCTCGCTTGTGTGGCTGCCTGGGCCTTCCCACAGGCTGCCTCGAGTGTCCTTACCACATGGCAGCTGGCCATTTGAGAGAGTGCTAGAGAGCAGTCAAGACGGAAGCCACAGCCTTTGTAGCCTAAACCTGGAAGTGCTGTCCCATCTCTTCTGCCATGTTCTGTTCTTTAGAAGCCAGGCACTTCTTTCCCTCCACCCCACCGCCCTTCTTCTTCCTCTTCTTCTTCTTCTTCTTTTTTTTTTTTTTTTTTGAGACAGAGTCTTGCTCTGTTGCCCAGGTTGGAGTACAGTGGCACAATCTCGGCTCACTGCAACTTCTGCCTCTGGGGTTCAAGTGATTCTTCTGCCTCAGCCTCCCAAGTAGCTGGGATTACAGGCACACACCACCACCTCCCGCTAACTTTTTGTATTTTTAGTAGAGACAGGGTTTCACGCTGTTGCCCAGGCTGGTCTCAAACTCCTGAGCTCAGGCAATCCGCCTGCCCTGGCCTCAAAAAGTGCTGGGATTACAGGCGTGAGCCACCGTGCTTGGCCAGAAGTGAGTCACTTCTAATATGAAGTCCACACTCAAGGGGAAGAGATGACCCAAGGGCATGAGTTCCAGGAGGTGGGGACCACTGAAGGCCATCTTAGGGGCCACCCTACCTTGGGTCACCAACTTTGGGGAGCAGCCCCTTCACAACGGGCACACCTGTTAATTTTTAGTCTGGGGAATTGTTACATATCTTTCCTATACTGGGGGGCAATCCTTCGACTCTGCTTCCTAGCTGCTTCCCAGGGAAGCACACTTCCTCTCTGTTCCCCTCCCTTACCTGGCCTCAGTGGTACCTTCTAGTTCTCAGATCTCCCCTGCCCTCAGGAAGGTGTCTCTGGAGGGGAACCCACTGCCGGAGCAGTCCTATCATAAACTCATGGCCTTGGACAGCACGTGAGACTCCCTGCCCTCACACCCTTTCTCTGGGCCTGTCTCGAAATTCCAAGCCATTTTTAGTCCCCGCCCTTCCTTGTCCCCCTACCATCTCGGCAAGGGCCGTAGATTCCTGCCCCTACATCCTCAGACCAGACGGTCCCCTCAAGCCCTCAAGTCTCCCGTATTCCGGCGGGCGCCCTGTACCGTTTCCAGCGACCCACATTCTCCCTCTGGCTGCCCCAGGATTGCGCACTTGTCTCTGCGGAACAATAACATCGACGACCGCGGGGCGCAACTCCTGGGCCAGGCACTGTCCACGCTGCACAGCTGCAACCGGACCCTCGTCTCACTCAACCTGGGCTTCAACCACATCGGGGACGAGGGCGCGGGCTACATCGCGGACGTGCGTGCGCGGCCGGGAGGGACCTGCTGGGAGCAGGGGCGCCGCAGGCGGCTCACACGTCCCTGCCCGCTTCTTAGGGTCTCCGGCTGAACCGTTCCCTGCTCTGGCTGTCCCTGGCCCACAATCGCATCCAGGACAAGGGCGCCCTGAAGCTGGCTGAGGTGGGTGTGCCGACCAGGTGGGGCCGGGGCGTGGACGGGCCAAGGGAGCCGACCGCTGAGAGCCAGCCTCCTTTAGGTCCTGCGCGCCTTCGAGTTGACGCACACGGAGGTGGTGGAGCGCCGGCGTCTCCTGCTGGAGAAAGGGACGCAGGAGCGCTCGCGATCGGTGAGGAGCCCCAAGGCCCCAGGACCAGCGGAGAGCGCCTCTGACCCTCGAGCCCACTCCCCAAGTCCGCTGCTTTTCAGCAAACTGGCCATCCGGTTTAATCTCCACCCTCTGTCGTGACTGTCTTTCCTTCCGATTTGTGCACAGACGTTTGCCAGGCGCCTGCTGGGCAGGCTCTAATTGCAGAACCACCTTATGGGCAGTAGAGTGTACTGGTTCAGAGATACGACACTAGATTGAGAACATCTGGACCTGAAATCTGGCTCATCCATATCCCAGCTTGTAATCTAGGGCAAGCTACTAAACTTTTTTTTTTTTTTTAGACAGAGTCTGGCTCTGTTGCCCAGGCTGGAGTGCAGTGGTGCGATCTCGGCTCACTGCCGTTTCTGCCTCCCGGGTTCAAGCGATTTTTCTGCCTTAGCCTCCTGAGTAGCTGAGATTACAGGCGTGTGCGACCACGCCCAGCTAATTTTTGTTTTTTTTTAGTAGAGATGGGGTTTCGCTGCATTGACCAGGCTGCTCTCGAACTCCTGGTCTCAAATGATCTGCCCACTTTGGCCTCCCAAAGTATTGGGATTACAGACACGAGCCACTGCACCTGGCCTGTGTTACTTAACTTCTCATTGCCTTAGTTTCCTCATCTGTAAGTGGGTAATTGTACCTATTTCATGACTGTTGAGAGGATTTAGTGACTTATTTCCTGCAATGCAGTTAAAATAGCGCCTGGCACTTAGCTCAATAAAAGCTGCTATTTTTTCCCCTCAATATGAGAATCTGAGACCCTGCCTCACTGTTCATATCACCCCTACCAGGTCCCTCTGCTATTTCTTCCCCAGAGCATCTCACCCCAGAGAAGTCCTATACAGATTATTAGGCAGGGAGGTGGGTGGAAGGGTTCTTGTCAGCTCGACTGCTCCCCAAGTATGCGTACAGCTACCTTTCATGCCCCCATTGAGGAAGGGACTCTGGCTTCTTCCTCCTTTCCCTCCCATTTGTGAGCACAGCCCTCCTCCTCTCGACATGGGGACTCCAAAACGGACCGTGAGAAGAGTCAGATGGTAGGGATCAGCAATAGTGCATTGGTAGACAAGACAGACAAGACGCAGACAATGAAAACCCCTAAGGGCCTGGGCAAGAAAAAGGAGAAGTCATGGGTAGGTGTGCAATGGGACAGAGCCTGGGCACTGGATGGACAGGGGAGGGGGCTTCCATCATGTGCAGAAGCGGTGGAGGGAAGGTCACATGGGCCTTTGAAGTTCCCCCTAATCTGGGCTCCTTCCCTCACCACTGCCCATCCCCTCCGGAGGTGGGACTTCCACCTCTCTTCTCACATTCTCCACAGGATTTGGCCAAGAAAGAGGAGAAGTCGGGGTCTGGGCAGTCACCCACACAAGGAACCCCTAAGAAAGAAGATGCCACAAAGGCAGGCAAGGGGAGTAAGTGCGGGCGCCCTTTGGCGGCACCTTCCTGTGTGGAGGAGGGAAGAGTGCCTGGACGGGTGCAGGAGGCTGTTCTGGGCCTGGGTGCGCCTGCCTGGAGCTCATCTCGCCATGTCCCTCCGGGCTTGATTTCCTTCTCACAGAGGGATGATGTGGAGAGCCGCATCCAGCCCAGACATCCTGACCCCACTGCTGTCCTCATCCTTTTTGTTGGAGCTGGAGCTCTGTGGCCCTGTCTTCAAAGAACCCACCCACCTAGCTGGGGCCCCCTCCAGTCATTTCTTTTTTTCTTTTCTTTTTTTTTTAGATGGAGTCTCACTCTGTTGCCCAGGCTGGAGTGCAGAGGTGCGATCTTGGCTCACTGCAGCCTCCGTCTCCTGGGTTCAAGCAATTCTCCTGCCCCAGCTTACCCAGTAGCTGGGATTACAGGCATGCGCCACCACGCCCAGCTACTTTTTGCATTTTTAGTAGAGACAGGGCTTCACCATATTGGCCAGGCTGGTTGCAAATTCCTGACCTCAGGCGATCCTCCTGCTTTGGCCTCCCAAAGTGCTGGGATTACACGTGTGAGCTACCACACCCAGCCCCCTCCAGCCGTTTCTGTTGGACCCAAACCCAAAGTTGGGGTCTCTTTGCCTCACCTAGCCTGTTCTTTCTGGGGAGGGAGGCTGGGTGGCATTAGAAGTGTGCACTGTGCATTCTGGCTGCTCTTCTGGCCCCAGAGGTAACCATCCCTGAGCAGAAGCCAAGCAGGATAAAAGGGATCAAGATCGGAAGCAGAGAGAAGCGCAGCATCCTCCCGGAGTCCGAGGTAAGCTGCCAGGAGGAGTGGAGGCAGGGGGCACACCCCTGGGATTCCAGGCTTGCCTGAGACCTCTCACCCTAGCCCCTGCTGGAATGTGGTCTCCAGCCCAATGCTGTGGCAGCAGCCGTTTACTTTCAAATTTGTCCTCCACTCCTGTCCCAACCTCACCTGAAACCCCCTCCCATCTCACCCTGGGCTTCTGTGGGAATAGTGGGAGCAGGCCCCTTCTACTTTTACTTGTCTATTAGTAGCCCACACTTTGGATCTGCTGTCTCAACTCAGCCAGGCTGCTTCCCCAGAGGCCCTCAGTTCCTCATCACCACCTCCATCACTTGCTTGGACTGTTGCATAGGAACAAAGTGTCTTCTTTTTTGCCCCTCTCGGCAGCTCCCCAAGGAAGGCAGCACATTTTTATGGTCATGGCACTGCCCTACGCTACCCTGTGCATAGGTCCTTCTTCAGACCCTCTCTCTTTTGCCCCTGGATCTTCTGTGCCCCCTTTCAACTTGGACCAACTTGCTGCTTGCATTGGAAGTCTTCCTGGGCTGCTTCCAGTGCTCCTACTGTCCCTCATCCCTCCATTCTGTCAGCTGCCTGAGCATCTGCCTCTCTGTATTTTTCTCTTCCATCGGAAGACTCCCTGCACACCCTAGGCAGGGAAGGGCCCGTCTCCTTTCAGGAGTCTTCTCTGGCACCCAAGACAAAATCTTACAAAAGAGGATGTTCAGAGGCAGGAAGAGGTTGGGGTTGGCTTTCAGTTTCCATTTTTCATCTCTGCCTCTGTCTTTTTTTTTTTTTTTTTTTTTTTTTTGAGACAGAGTCTCGCTCTGTCGCCCAGGCTGGAGTGTAGTGGCCGGATCTCAGCTCACTTCCGCCTCCCGGGTTCACGCCATTCTCCTGCCTCAGCCTCCCGAGTAGCTGGGACTACAGGCGCCTGCCACTGTGCCCGGCTAATTTTTTCTATTTTTAGTAGAGACGGGGTTTCACCATGGTCTCGATCTCCTGACCTTGTGATCTGCCCGCCTCGGCCTCCCAAAGTGCTGGGATTACAGGCGTGAGCCACCGCGCCTGGCCTCTGCCTCTGTCTTGATCAGGCTGCTGATTGTCACTAGGACTATTGCAATTTCTTTTCATCGTGCCCGTCATTGTCAGTCACTTCCCTCCAATCCATTCTCCTCATTGCTCTAGGTGTTAGGAAACACTTAGTAAAACCTGAATGTGACATACTGTTTCACGCTTCCAGAGCCTTTGCACCTGCTTTTTTGCCCAGAACACCTTTCCCGTACATGATGTGCATTCACAGGAGACCCTTCCTGGCCTGGCCTAGGTATTCCCTTTCCGTGCTCCCACAGTGCTCTGAGTTTGCCTCTATCAGTGCTCACTCTAGACCACGTTACTTTCACTTTCTGGCTCCCCAACACAAAGGAGCTTCTTGAGGGTATGGGCTTATTTATTTTTGTATCCCCAGCACCTGGGACAAAGCCTGGACTATAGCCGGCAGTCAAAACATGTATGTTGAATGAATGAATGAATGGCCTGTTGACCAGCTCCCCTGCTGTCTGCTGCAATTAGTATTCTGCTTTAGCAGCTGGTTGAGGCTACTGAGGTGATCAACCCTCTCCTGGAGCCTGTGGAGCACCGAGATGGGAAAGTTTTCATGCCTGGGAACAAGGTCCTTTTGCACCTCAACCTCCTCCGTATGTCTGCCAACCTCCTCTGTCCTCCTGCCATGAGGCTTCCTGGGTCCTGTCCTGCCTGAAGGTGTCTGCCCTGACTCCATGGAGCAGACCTGGTCCTCCCATCTTTGGGCTACATGTCCCCCAAGGCTCTCTTGCACAGGGCTTGAGGGGCCAGGGGAAGTGCTGAGTCTGGGAGGCTGGGGACAGGTGATTGGAGTAACGAGGGGAGTTAGATGGGGTGTGTGTGAAGAGCTGGGTGAAGGGCCAGGTCAGGGAAAGGTGTGCCTGGGCCAGTGAGTCTGGAGTGGGGAGCTGGAGGAACTGGGCTGCTGGGGATGTCTGGTGTGTCAGATGCCAGTGAGGCCTGTGGTGCTAAGAGGCCACCTGTCTGCACCTTCCACCAGGGAACCGCATCACAGAGGTGGGGCTGGAGGGCTTCCTCGCCACAGTGCAGTATCAGATGCAGTTCTCCAAGGCCAAGAGTGTGTCCAAGGGTCCAGTGGGGCTGCTGTGGCTGTCCCTCGCTGTGAGTCCCTTTCACTCTCTCCTGCTGAAGCAGAGCTTGCCCCTATCAATCAGCTGTCACACTAGACAGCTGCTGCAGGCAGTTTCTGTCTCCCCATTTCCAAGGAAGCTCTGTAGTTTCTCTGCTTCTTTTTAAAAATCACAACATAACCTCCGTTCCTCTTGCTGGAAGATCAGCAGTATTAATCACTCGGCTTTTTCTGCATGTCCCCCAGCCCCTAACCCACCCTGCCCCAGGACCATTTTTTTTTTTTTCTCCCAGAGGACTAATCTTCATTCCTCTTGTCAGATGTCAGCCTTCCTTTTCTTTTCAGAAAAATTGCTTCGCCCCACAATGTCCTGCATACGCCATAATCCAGGAGCTGATGTTGCCAAGGGATCCCATCAAGGCCAAACTCAGGGAGGATGAGGCCATGGCATTCTTCCCCTAGCCCCTCCCACCTGCTTGCCTCTGAGACTCAGAAGCACCTCCTGTCCCTGTGTGGGCTGACCTCCCTGGGGGAGATCTCAGACCAATAACAAAGTCTGTTGCTATACTTTTCCTTGAGGTTGTCTGAAAACTTTCTTCCAGAACTACTTGGAACATTTAGATTTTGTGTCTGTCCATGTTACATGGCCAAGAATGGCAGAAAAGTGGTCTGAATTACAGTTCTGCTGGGGATGATCTCAGCCCCTCTGGCCTCAGTTAGCCAGGGGCATTGCCCTTCTGCCTCCTGGGGGCTAGTTCTTCCTTGCTCAGGCAATAGCCATGCCCCCACCGTGTTCTCTAGGGGACATGCATTATGCCAGGGTTTGCATTCAGAAAGATTTGGGATAGGGATTAGTAACTGACACACACAGGCTTGGGAGGAGAGTGGGAGCAGGAGTAGGTAAAGCAGAGGAATTAAGCAAGCTTTCCCATCTGGCTGGCCCAGGTGTTTGACTACTTTGGAGGAGAGGTAAGGTTCAGCTTAAGAAAATGAACAAAGGCTTGGCAGGCCACTTTGGAGAGGGTGCTAAATGCTCAACATCTACATAGCAAAGGCTAAGCATTGAACATGAACCCTAATAACCCGCCTGCAGAAGTCAGCCATCTGAAACCAGAGGTGTGAGGTTCCTGAGCCAAGTCACGGTCCCCAAACCTTTACCCTTCAGTGCTGCCTCCACTGAGGTCACCTGCCATTGCCCAGAGAGCACAGGACTGGCTTTGGGGAGCCCACCTATAACCTATAGCAGTGTCCGAGAAGGCACAGATCAACACGGACCAGCCTTCCTTCCTCACTTCTGAGCAGATTCAACCTGTTCCACATTCTCTAGTCCTACTTCCCTCACTCCACTGCCTCTGCCTACCTAGAATTCCCTTGTCCTGCCATCTTACTTTGTGTGGCTCAGTGGCGCTTAGGCCTGTCTCCTGCCTCTGAGTGCCTGGAGCCCTCCTAGTCTGACTGCCCCAGCTGTCTCTGCAGCTGGTTGTAGAGCGAGCTTCTCCAGGAAAAACCCATCATTTCTTTGAATTCCCAACACTGAACACATTGAGGTGCTGGATGGTCACCCCAGCTTCTGCAGGGAACCTTGCCATGTCCTCCAGAGCTTCAGTGACCCCTTCAGCCTATATCCTTATCCCACCCTTCATTATTAATGACTCCTGTATCAATTCTGATGCCCAAATAGACTGTACCCTAATGAGGACACAGCCTCATGTGAGGCTGTGAGAGGGAGTCAGGGTTAGGGCTGGAAGAGTTTGTCACTTGAATCCAACACTGAATGCCAGGAGACAGAGGTGATATGGTTAGTCTTGGTGATGTGGTTGCGTCTGTGGGAGGATGTGGATGGATGACAGTGACGAACTGGCCAGGCCTGAGGCAACCCTCCCCCTTAGGTTTGGCTTTTAAAGTCCTCAAGCTCATTGAGGGCAGCTCATGAGACCTCTTGACTATGGGTCCACTGCTCCTTTATATACATATATATGTGTGTGTGTGTGTGTGGAATCAGTGTCTTGTCATGTTTTCTCCATGGGGGTTGTATAACTTAAGTTTGCCCAGCCCCTAGTTCAGCGAGTACACATCTGAAGCTCTGCGAGGGAACAGGCAAGACCTGGGTCTAGGGGTGAGAGGGCTCCCTCTGGTTCCCACTGTCCAATCCTAACCAGTCGTACAGGGAACAAACACCGGACCTTTTATCACAGCGATTCCAAGAAACACACATACCACCATTGAAGAATATTTAACTTTTCTTAAAAAAAAATCTTAACCATGAAAGGAAGAAAATAAGAGTATACATTATCTTAACAGCAAAACAGTCATTTCCATATCTCTATTTTATATATTATATATATATTTATATATATATATGTATATATACACCTAGCACAGTGTGTATATTCTATTCATCAGGGAGAGTTGGGTGAGGACATGGTGATGGGGCCAATGCTGTGGTGGCCCCTTGGATGGTCCTGGGTGAATTCAGGGACTCAGCATTCAGACCCGCTATCCCCACCTCCTGGGCCCAGTCTTCAGCTCCGTACCTGCTTCACTGGTTTTCTACAGGGACAGGGTGGGGAAGCGGGGACATAGGTGGGGTAAGAAACTCCCCATGGTCCCCATCTTGTGAAGATGAGAAGTCCAGGGAGGGAGGGAGTAGCCCGGCGGCAAGCTGTGGAGGGCAGGCTCTGGAGCCAGGTGGGACGGGGAGCCAGAAGACCTTCCCACTCACAGCGACAGGGACACTCAGGCCTGGCTCCCCCTTTAGGCTCGATCCTGGAGCTGGGTTGTTAACTAGGAGATAAAAGTGAACCCCCTCTTCCCTAAGCAGCTTCTTCCATATAACTGCCTCCAGCACTTCAGGAACAGGAACAAAAAAGGTCAAAGTTATTTACAATAGCAAAGATGCACATACGATACATACATATTTATAGGAAACCAAAGTGACAAAGAGGGGAAGGGAGGCACCCACCTCGGCCTGGGGTTTTATGGAGAAAGAGGGGAGGAAGAAAGTGCATTTACACAGAAGCCTCCTCCTTTCACTTGCATGTCTGAGGGCAGCGCACGTATAGGTGTGCACGCACATGTGGGGTGAGGGCAGACCATGGTGAGTGGGGGCCTTTCAGATGCAGTCAGCATGCTTTGGAGACACAGGCCTTGGAGGGTTGGGCTGAGGGAGGGAAAAGACACTGAAACTTGACTCCGATTTGAGCAGACCAAGCAACATGCGGGTCTCCCCCAAGGCCTTGGCTGGATCCTAGTTTCCCCAACTGCCTCCTCCACAGGGAGGAGCGTTGGGATCCCCCCTACCCTGTGCCCTGGTCTCAGGCCAGTCCCTGAAGGAGGAGTGGGGACACAGAGGATTTGGTGGTTTGCACGGTTATGGTCCTGGTGACGCGGCTGCGTCTGCTGTGCTGTCTTCCAGGGGGGCGTCAGAGCCTGTGGGAGGAGGATGAAGGTAAGGAACTGGCCAGCCTGAGGTGACCGCTTCCACATGATCTGTCTAGAAAGTCTTCAGGCTCACAAGAGCAGCCCCTTCAGCACCTTCCTTCTCCTCCAGAAACCCCAGTTTCTTGCAGGGCTTGAAAAGGGTTGTCTACTGAACTCTACTTTCATCAGCCCCTAAAGCCCTTAGATCAGGTAGGTACACGCCTTGTCTTCCTGAGTTATGACATAGCTGTGTCCCTGGCTCACCCAGTGTGGCTCTGAACCATTTAATCAGCACCAGTCTTAGGCTGGCACTGTGTGTGCACCTGCAATCCCAGCTGCTTCAGAGGCTGAGCAGGGAGGATCACTTGGGCCCAGGAGTTTGAGACCTGCCTGGGCAACATAGCCAGGCCAGCCCTTGTCTCGAAGAAATAGAAAATATTTATATTTTATATATGTATATACACATACACACACACACATATATATATAATTTTAAAAAGTACAGATCTTAGATGTGAGACCAGGCTCCTCCTGGTTTGTTACCTCCATATACAAGGAAAAAGAGGGCTCAATTCTAAGCTCCCCATTTTTCCGGGGATCTTCTGTGGGACTTCCCTAAAAAGATCCCTCTCTGAAGCTGAGGGAATGAATTCGTTTCACTCAAGGGTAAACCAGACTCTCAGAACCACTATCTCTCACTGCTTAGTGATGTGTCCTCACCAGGTGGCGGACTTCTCCCCTATGGTAGGTACTGAGAGGGACCTGGCTTCACTCACCATCCTCAGGGCAGGGCCCCAGTTCATGGCTGTTCCTGGAGTCAGAAGCCAGGGGCTCCTTAGTGGGAGGTGAGAGGGAGCCATCTGTCCATCTAGCTGCTTCTGTGTGGAAACTGCCCACAGGCGTGGTGCCACCAGATGACTCTCCCCCGAGGGACTTGAGCAGCTCTCTATGGGCCAGCTCCATATCCTGGAAGAGTTGGCGGGGGAATGTCTGCTCAAGTCCTTCTATTCCTAAGGCCCCTGGGGAAGGGGTCATACTCTGATCTGTGCTGGGCCTTGGGGATGGGGGTGTGATTTAAGGGTGGCTGGGGGAAGATTCCCGGGCCAGGACAGGATCTAGGGCTCCCGCGAAGACACACATTTCACTCATGGGGAATGGTTTTGGAGTGATGGACTGAAGGCCTGCAGGGACCCAAGCCCTGTTTCCCTCACCTTGAGCCTGTTGAGCTTGAGGGTGAGCTGCTCAATGGTACGGAAGATCATGCCTACGTCCCTGAGGGCCAGGCTTGGGGGAGAGCGGCTGAGGCGTCTTGGATCTCCATTGCCGCCCTGCAGCTGAGGCCGAGGCTCTGCCTGCCCTGCAGGGACGCTGTCAGGCTGAGGGGGGCTTGTGGGTACCCCTGAGTGGTCGGTGCTTGAGTCCAGGGGTCCTGCTGGCATGCTGACATAAAAGCAGTTCCCTGTCCCCACAGTAAGAGAATGAGATCAGGAGGCAAACAGAGAAGTTGAAGCTATCCTCCCGCTCCTGTGGGATTCCCTAGCCACCTGACAGAGCAGGCCAGGCAGTCCTCTCCAGATGAACTTGCAGCACACGGGCCTTGCTCACTGTCTGCCAGCCCCCTAAAAGCCCTGCTCCCGAGACTCTTTTTTTTTTTTTTTTTTGAGACGGAGTCTCGCTCTGTCACCAGGGTGGAGTGCAGTGGCGCGATCTTTGCTTACTGCAACCTCCACTTTCTGGGTTCAAGCAATTCTCCTGCCTCAGCCTCCCGATTAGCTGGGATTACAGGCCCGTGCCACCATGCCCAGCTAATTTTTGTATTCTTAGTAGAGACGGGGTTTCACCATGTTGGTCAGGCTGGTCTCGATCTCATGACCTCGTGATCCGCCCGCTTCGGCCTCCCAAAGTGCTGGGATTACAGGCATGAGCCACCGCGCTCGGCCACTCCCGAGATTTTCTAGATGGCACTTTGTTCAGTCTGGCCCCAACCCAGGGGAGATGCTGAGTGGTGAACTCAAGGGAGAAGTGGCAGAGCTGCAGTATTTCATTTGGGGAAATCAGAGTGGCTCCCCATCCTTGAGTAAACAGATTGTGGACTGGTTTCAGGCTCTTTTGAAAGGAGCAGGCAGCAGCCCTCCTGCCCTGCCTGACTCCAGCTCTGGATGAACTGCAGCCCCGCCCTGCCCCTCTTCCATCCATGCCATGATCCTCTGGAGGTCCCTTGACCCAACCAAGCGGTGTCAGAGAGAGCTGGAGGAAGGACGTGGAGGGTTCCTGACAGGCAGGAAGCACAGAGAACCACCGTAGAACCTGGGGGGCCCTTTCAGCCGATTTCCACAGTGACACTGGAGCGGCAGCCGAGGTGGGGAAGTGGCTGCTTGAGTATCACGTGAAGGACACTGGGTCCCCAGAGCCAGGCCAGGCTTCCCTGCCCCTCCCACAATTGCACACAGGCATTTATCCCTGCCACTCTGAACAGGAGCCTGGACAGGTAGATTCTTAAGACAGCACAGGGCCTGTCCCTGTCTTTAGAGCCAGATCTTCCTCCTCCTCCCCATTCCAGGCAGCTTGAGGGAGCTTGCGGGTGTGTGTGTGACCATGGGCAGGGGTCTGACTCTGCCCTCACAGGTTCCACACTCCAGTCCTGGCCTGTCTTTAGCTCCAAGGAGAAAGTTATTACCCGTAGCCTTTGTTCCGCCTTCCACTTCAGGTGGCCCAGGCTCTGACTGGCCACTCTCTGGTAGTGCAGGGACAACCTTGCTGCCTGCCACCTCAGCTGCACCGATACCACCACCACCAGGAAGAGGAGAGACCAGAAGACAAGGAAAGGGAAGGGAGAGAGAACAGGAAGGAGAGAGGGCAGGAGGTGGGGACAGGGGGAGGAGAAAACGGGAAGAACAAGGTGAACACAAGATCATACACGATGACATCCCAGGCAGTGCAGAGAACTTTCCACCAATTCACCAGCAGAGAGAGAAGGAAGGTCAGTTCCCAGAAACCCAGGAGAAGGCGGGCATTGGGCAGATGGAATGAAAAATGCTGCTGGAAGGGTGGCAGAGTGGAATCTCAGGGGAGGGCAGGCCCACTAGCGCGGAACCCCACCCCAGGTGAGCCCCAGGTTTTGTTCTACCTTTCTTGCCACCCTCTCAGACCAGCCCACTCTTCCCGGGGCAGGGACCTTCCTCCCTGGGCTCACTGCTTGGGCTGGGCAGACCTGTCGGCCTCCCTGTGAACTTGTCTTGGCTTTTCTTGTCTCAAGGCTGCCCATGGTGTTTTCCAACCCAGGGTGCCCTCCCTGCCACCTTATTCACTCCCCATACCCCTCACTCGCCAAATGTCTTCTCAGCTTTGTCTTCCACCCCTTCCAGTCCCAGCTGCCACCTCTACTGCCCTAGGTGCTGTTGCCTGGTGTGAGGGGCTGCATGCACCTGCCCTGTCTTTCCCAGCCTGAGGCTCCTGAGAAGGGCGGCTCTTTTCCCTGGGACCAGATGAGTGAGGAGCGCTAACAGAGACTGGTGCTGGTAGCTGGTTTGTGCCAGGCAGAAGGAAATGTCCTTATGTGTTAACAAAATGAAGTTCAGAGATGATTCAGAATTTTGTGTAAAGCCACACAGATATTAAGTGGCAGAGCTAAGCTCTGAATCTCGACTGTCTAACTCCAAAGCCTGCCTGGTATCAGCGTGTCTCCTTCGTCCAGGACCAAGTGTAGGTCTCTGCTCACACGGTACCCAGGGGGAATATAGGGAAGGAAGCAGCTATTCGGAAGACTTATCTCACCTAGCAAGGGAGCTTGTCTCCCCACTGGACACCCCCATTTATTTTACCTTTTCTTACAACTTTGTAACCTCCTGCTGCCTCTGTGCTTGAAGCCTCTTCAGCTGGATTCCTGTCCAGTTCTGGAGACTCCCATATCCCAGAATTTCTGGTCCTTGGGGGTAGGTGTTCCAGAGAACAGAGACCCACGTCCTCCTGCTCCAGCCGTTCGCCCTCTGGCCCTGCAAGCTGGGTGTTGTCCCCTTGACCCCCAGGAGGCGCCTGCCCTGGGGAGCCTGGGTCCCAGGGGTGAGAGGTGACACTGATGACAGAAGGTGTGGGTGTCAGGTCGTCCTCGGGCTCCCGGGCAGCCTGAGTTTCCATGGTGTGACCTGGCAGCAGGCTCCACAGGATCAGGTGTCGCAAGTTCTCCACTGGAAGGGAAACAGGGTGATGTCTTCCCAGCACAGGATGGCACACCACGCTGGAAGGATCGCTGTGCTGCCCTACCAACCCCAAGGTGGTGATCTCAGGCATAGGTGAAGCTGGAGGGCTCTGGTCAACTAGCTGGTGGGGGTTGGGTGGGGAATGAAATCTGTCTCTGCATCCATCTCTCCTCAAGCACACCAGGGAGAGCCTTCGGGAAGGTGGAGGGTGCAGGCGCCTGCCAGTTCACACTGGCTGTGCAACTGGGGACCAGGGGCTGACAGCAGGGCCTTGAAGCACTCACCATCTTCCAGAGCAGAGTCAGCGAGCCCTTCCATGAACAGAGGGCCTGGGAAGGCCAGGTGGATGGGGTTCCTTGTCCTGATGCCCCTGTTCTCTCCGTCCAGGGATGTAGAAGGGCAAGGCAGGACACCCAGTTCCTCTTCCTCTGCACTGCCCTCCTGCTCAGGGTCCTCTAGCAGGACCGGGTGCTTCCCTTGGACCCTCTGCTGGGGCCCAGTGCCTGTTTCGGATGAGAGAAGAAGGCAGGGAAAGGGAGACGGCTTGTATGGGAAAGCCTATGCGCAGCTTTGGAGCCAAAGGGCTGGGAACACGGATTCGTTCTACAGTTGTTTACTGAGAACTTCCTGTGGCTGGCACTGTCCCAGGCTCTTGGCATATGACAGTAAGCAAAACAAAATGATCCCTACCCCTGTTGAGCTTACATTCTAGTGGAGGGACATACAAAAAAAAGACTCTTCAGTCAATTATGTAGTTTGTTGGAAGGCAGTAACTTCCACAGGAAAGAAGAAGACAACAGCAGGGCATGGGGCTGGGGGCTGGGCAGTGCTGGCTACAGTATTAAACAGATTGGGCCAAGAGGACACTGGAATGAAGACATGAAGGAGTTGTGGCGTTAGGAGGAAAAGCATTCTAAGCAGAAGGAAACAACAGACACCCAGCCAGGAAGCCCGAGATTTCTCTTGAAACCCAAGACCCCAGGTTACTTCACACGCAAGCTCTCAATGAGAATGCGGTCCCCATCACAGTAACTGCATCTTAAGCCCTTTGAGCTCCCCAGGCCCCCATGTTTTCCATCCCCCCATAGTTGCAGTACGCATCTCTCTCCCCAACAGTAACCCCTGGAGGATGCAGGGCCCGTGGACCCCGCCAGACTGCTCGTCTTCTTCCATGGCTGATGCTGTCACTCAGAGAGGCGGGGTGGGAATCTCTGGTCAGGTGAGTGAGTTCACCCTTTCTTAAGTCTGTTCACTCTGCTCTCCTTCCTCTTCCAGACTCTTCCTCCTGCCCTGTTTCTTCTCTACTCTTTATCAAAACCTCACACCCCGGGCCCCGATGGACTCTCCCATCGCCCCCATACTCACACCCAACCTGTGCCTACAGAAAAAGGCCTGGGCAGGCTCCCGCAGGACAGTTCAGGGCCCTTACCTCCAGGCAGCTCCTCGGGTTCGGGCTCACCATGGAACACGTCTGAGTCATCCAGTTCTACCCTGAGGGAGGAAACCAACTCAGGGTGAGATGTCATGAGATTCCACCCTGGACTCGTGTGTTAGAATGGGCAATGCAGTAGGACCCGAGAAGTACGGTGTGGGCCTCCTCACCTGGCTGGTCTGCTTGGCAACCCGGAGAGGAGGGGGGCTTCTGGCTGAGCTTCTCTGGTCCCCTGCTCTACATCCCCCTCACCCTACTTCAGGCTCAGCTCTATTACAGCCAGGTGGCAGACTGTGGGGGAGCGGACAGGGACAGGAAGCAGGGATGGGGGCATGTTTCTCCATCTGCCAGCGCTTGGAGCTGTCTGCTCCCTGCTAGCATTTCCCTGTTGTGGCTGTCCACCCCTGGGGTTGAAGGGTTCAGAAGCAGCAGGAAACAGGAGGTTTGGAGTGGAGAGACTGGGGGGTCTGGAGGGCTAAGTGCTGCACCTGCTGGGTGTGAGGCCCTGGTGGGCTGGCTCCTGGGGGCCTGGGGGTGGAGGATGGATGGGCATCGGGGCAGCTCCGGGGTGCCTGGTGGCATTCCGCACAGCCTCTTCTAAGAGCTCCATCCATCTGTTGCTCGGCAGGAACAGAGAGGACTGTAGTGAGAGCAAGATAGTGGCACACACCACCCCGTACTGAGCCCACTGGAGCAGGACTTCCAGGCCCTTCTCCAGGCCCTAAGAATCCTCTGCCTGGCAGGTGCCCACCTCCCTGTACAGTCCTCCTGGGCTGGCTGCTCCCTTGGGGTTATATTACTTGCAGCTACCAAATCCTGGACACCAACCCTCTGTTACGCTCTGGGCAAAGCATTCTGTGTTTTCTCTCTAAAGTAATTCTCTAACAGGTAGCATTAGCCACATTTTGAAAGATGAAAACCCTGGAGTTGGGAAACTGTCTGACTTGACCTGTCTCCTTCCACTGTACCACGCCACCTCTGGCAGCTGCTGTCAGAGAACATGGGTTGGGTAGGAGGCAAATGCTTGAGAAGGATGCATGAATCTAATTCACCTGACAGTGAAGGGAGTAGGGCAGGAAGGAAAGCAGCAGCAGCAGCAGTAGCAGCTGCTGGAAGACTGCCAGAAACTCATTCTCCCAGAAGTGGGCCTGGAGACCAGCTCAGGGGTGATGACCCCTCCCAGCTTCTCTACTTCTGTCCTACCTCCCACTTCCCTTCCCAACCCCCCTGTCCAGGCACTGCTCTGGGGCCCAGTCCTGGTGTTGCCATCCACCGTCCTCATACACATCACCCTGATCCCAAAGGGACTGTGGTTACGGGTAACCCCTCAATCAATTCTCACGTGTTCTTGTCTGATGATGTCAATGCAACCAGCTCATAGATCTGGGGTGGGCCCAGCTTGGAGGTGCAGATGATGAAGAAGGCCCGTTTATCTGCGTGAGGAAAGGAAGGTAGAAGGGTCTGTACTAGGGATGGGAGGTGTGACTGCAGCCTGGGCCAGGGTGACAGAGTGGGACTCAAAGCCCTGACCCTCAACGAGGATGGAGAGTGCAGCACGAGATAGATGTGAATCATGAGGACCACTTGGAACCCACTTACACAAGGGACAGAGGAAATTCCAGGACCCCTAATGTCATCTTTCACAGCCACCCCATTCCTCTCCTGCTCTAATAATAGTGATGGCTGATGTGTGTATGGTGCTTAGGATTTATAAAACTTTTTATTGTTTTTTGAGACAGAGTCTCCCTGTCGCCCAGGCTGGAGTGCAGTGGTGCCATCTTGGCTCACTGCAACCTCCGCCTCCCAGGTTCAAGCAATTCTCCTGCCTCAGCCTCCCGAGTAGCTGGAATTACAGGTGCCTGCCAACATGCCCGGCTCATTTTTGTATTTTTAGTAGAGACAGGTTTCACCATGTGGGCCAGGCTGGTCTTGAACTCCTGACCTCAAGTGATCTGCCTGTCTCAGGCTCCCAAAGCAGTGGGATTATAGTTTATAATTTTATAAAACTTTTTCTTTTCTTTTTTTTTTTGAGACGGAGTCTTGCTCTGTCGCCCAGGCTGGAGTGCTGTGGCCGGATCTCAGCTCACTGCAAGCTCCGCCTCCCGGGTTCCCGCCATTCTCCTGCCTCAGCCTCCCGAGTAGCTGGGACTACAGGCGCCCGCCACCTCGCCCAGCTAGTTTTTTGTATTTTTTAGTAGGGACGGGGTTTCACCGTGTTAGCCAGGATAGTCTCGATCTCCTGACCTCGTGATCCGCCCGTCTCGGCCTCCCAAAGTGCTGGGATTACAGGCTTGAGCCACCGCGCCCGGCCAAAAACTTTTTCATACCTGTCATTCCTTTTGATGCCCCCAAGAGGTAGGGTAGGTATCACTCCTATCTTACAGACAAAAAAAGTGAATCCAGAGAATTTTGCTCCAGAGCCCTTTCTCACACACACTGCACTTCTCATTGAAACGTCTCTGTCCACTGGACCCAGCTCTGTACCGTGGGTACTAACATCTTCTGTAACCAAACTCTGCCCAAGTCACTCTTATAGCAGAAAGGCTTGTCCTACTCATTCTGCCTAATCCCATTCTTCCCAATCCTGCTCAGACACTCTTACCCCATCCTGGGTGTGCACGGCCCATCCAAACCAGCACTGTGCTTGAGGACTGCTGACCACCCCTGTGCCAGGTTGTCTGTCTTCCTCTTGGTCCCCATCCTAACCCTCATCCTACCCCACTTTGGGCCAGTCCTCCTGCTTAGGCTGGGTCAGGACAGGAGGAAAGGAACACAGGTGGACAGGTAGGTCCTGTAAAGGCTCCACATTGACCCTGCCTCACCCAGCACTCGCTGGACATGGTCCCTGAGCCCCAGGCCAGCCTGGACCATCTCCCCAGGTACCTGTGGCCACAGAGCGGATGAGCACAGCATTGAGCTTGAGTACGGGGCTGAAGGTCTGCTTGCTGTCTGAGGAGCCCACAGTGGTCTTGCTGTGGCATTTCAGCAGTAGCTTCTCGTCCTGTTTCTGCAGCAGCACTAGGAGGTCCTCCAACAGCAGCACATGGAGGTCTGGAGGGGTATGGTCGTGGGGAGGCGTTCCCTGGTGCCCACTCATCCCTCATGAGCACAATGCAGGGCCATAGGCTCTTGGAGGCTCTAGGAAGCCCTGGGAGTCTGGTGACCCCATTTCTCTCTCTGGTTACTCCCTTCCCATGTCCTGAGCTATCACCTCCAGTCATGTTTCAATGCTTGGGAAAGACAGAGAGAAGAGCCCAGGGAGGCCCACCCACTGCAGGTTCCCACTCAGTCCCAGTCCCCTGGCACATACCCAAGGTCTTATCCTTGCTGATCCTCCAGGTCAGAGGCCCCTCGTGGATCATTTTTCTGGTTGTAAGATCCAGGCTCTGTTAAGGAGACACCATTCATTCATTCATTCATTCAAGTGTTTGAGAACCTACTGTGTGCCAGACATTGTGTTAAGGTGCTGGGAATTGGTAAGTAAGAAAAAGTCCTTGCTCTTACTCTCTTGTAGGGGATGAAGACAAGCAAAAAGGTAACTGTGAAGTCATGTGCCATGTGCCAGTGGGGGGATATACCAATGGCTCTGACTTGGGTCTCCCACCTGCCCCTACCATGTGCCAACTACAGTCCCAAGAAGATCACACAGTGCTTTTCCTGCCCATGCCTCCAGCTTTATTCCCTCCCAGAAGATCTCCACCTTACCTCCAGTTCTACCCGATCCCCTGCTCTCTCAGGCTGAGTTCCAACATCTAGTCTTTCTTGGGTAGGGCTGTCTATCTTGTCCATCTAGGGACAGGGTAACAATAACAGTGTGTGTGTCTTCTGGGGCTCCATTGTGCCACCCTATCTGGTCTTTATCTCCTACCTCTAAGACTCTCCAAGCCCTGACCAGAGTTCTGCTCCTAAGGGTGCCCGCAAAGTGTGAGGGGTTGACTGTGCTGCAGTCTCTGCCTCCTACCTTGAACTCTGCTGCCAGAGGGTTGCTGGCCCTCTCCAGGGCAGTGGCATCCAGGCGTTTCTGGTAGCCCTCTAAACGGTGGCGGTTCTCTGTTTGCTTTACCGCTTCATTCACATACTTGAGAATCTCCCGGCACTGGTCCCGGGCCCGGCAGAGCTTCTCATGCTCAGAGGTGCCACCTACCAAAATGGACAGAGGAGATGGTTGGGGCTCCTGCCTGAGAAGTCTAACATGGCATCAGCTATTATCTGCCTGAATTCATCCATGGCAACTGGCTTGCTTCAAACCAGCAGGCGTGGGTGGAGGTGAGCCACCCTTGCCTCACACGAGGACCTCAAGTGGTAAAGGTAACTTTTACTGAGCATCTTCAGGTCTCAGACAGACCACTGCTTTGAAGACACTGATAGCTCTTGGGAATTCCTGCTTCTACCACAACCAGCTCTACAGATGCAAGGGACAGAGACTGTGGTAAATGGCCACAATTATGCCACTAGAAGGCCTGTTCAAATCAGACTGGGGTTCCTAACACCTCTCTGTCCTGACTCCAATGTCTGAAATTAGGGGGTAGTGAAAGATACCCAGGATCCCAGGGAGAGTGACAACCTAAAGCTAGACCCTCTTGTTCAGTCTGGTCCCCTGCTCCTCTAGTGTTACCACATAGGCTGTGTCTTTTCTGCACCGCAGGGGGCATGAATGGGGATAAAATCCAGCTGCACGCAACCAGAGGGACCCAGGTGCCCTTGAGTGCCAGCCTGTGTTGGGCACCGGATGCTTTCCTTGGATTTGCACAAAGGCCCACACAGGTGGGCCTTCGATGCTGGCCCCTACTCCTTCCACTGTTAAACACCTTGTATTTTCCAAAGGACATTTACAATCATTTTTTTCTCTGAAACACCCCACAACAGAACAAGGATGAAGACACCAAAGACCACAAGGTACAGTGACTTGCTAAGGTCACAAAACAGTGCCAGAATGAGGGTCTGGCACGAGGCCCGCTGCCTGTGACGCCAGCCCCTCCCCAGGCGCTACCCTCTGTGTGCTTGATGATGCTCTCCAGCAGCAGCGGGTACTTGGTGAGCCGCTGCATCTCAGAGATGATGAGGTCCCTCAGCTGCAGCCGCCGGCACTGAGGGTGGCTCTCAGCCTCCTAGACAGCAGGAGACATAGAAGAGAGGAGATGTCAGCATGGCTGGGAGCTGGCTTATGGGCTCAGGGCCAAGATGGGTGTGAACATGACAAACAGGTCCTAACACCAGGTGGATCACTCAGAAATAGTAGTGGAAGCTTCTTCCTTAAAGATGTAGAGAAGGGCCGGGCACGGTGGCTCAAGCCTGTAATCCCAGCACTTTGGGAGGCTGAGACGGGCGGATCATGAGGTCAGGAGATCGAGACCATCCTGGCTAACATGGTGAAACCCCGTCTCTACTAAAAAAAAATACAAAAAACTAGCCGGGCGTGGTGGCAGACGCCTGTAGTCCCAGCTACTCCGGAGGCTGAGGCAGGAGAATGGCGTGAACCCGGGAGGCGGAGCTTGTAGTGAGCTGAGATCCGGCCACTGCACTCCAGCCTGGGTTACAGAGCGAGACTCCGTCTCAAAAAAAAAAAAAAAAAAAAAGATGTAGAGAAGGGTTTGTGGTGGCAGGGAGACACCAATCCAAAGGGATACAGTCAAAACAGAAGGGCAGGCATATTGCTGCCATTCCATAGACAAAGAAACTGAGATCCACCTCAGTGCACACAGGTGCTGGTGGGTGAGCCAGGCCTCTGACTGCTAATCCAGGATTCTTTTCAACAAACGAAGGTCTCTTTGTCTAGAGTCAGTCAGTGCTTTTGAGGAGCTTGTGCGGAAGGATAGAGGGAGTTGCTGTAGAGAAGGAGGATGTGGCCAGGAGAGAAGTTCAGGAGATCCTTGGTGACCCTGACGGAGATGAAGGAAGGCCAAGGCATGGCCAAGGACGCACCTGCATGAAGAGCTGGAATCGACTCTCCTTGCGTTGCTTGGTCTTGATTAGCTCTAGGGCTATTGACTGATAGGAACAGAACTGTGCAGCCACTTGCTGGAGTTCCTCTCGGGCAGGGCCATCAAACTGAAGAGGCAGAATGGACATGGGGCCAGGCATCACACTCCTGCCTGGGACCAGACCCCTGCCTATCCCTTCCTTTGCCAAATTCCCTGGCCTTGGGTAATGAGACCCTGCCTCCCCCAATCTCCTCCTTGCCAAGAGGGAGAAGTTTGGAGCCATACCCGGGCCAGCATGAGGTCACTGATCTCTTTGATGATGGGGCCTTCCTCCCGGAGCTTCTTCATGGCTTCACACCAGGAATCTGGGGCGAGAAGAGAACAACTCGCAATGCCTGGGGTTGAGCTCAAGTGCCAGAACCTTTCTGACAGAGAGAAGCGAATCTCTGATGGCAATGCCATGGGAAGGGTCTGGAAACCATTTTACTTTCAGGGTGAGCTCCAGTGCTGGTTTCAGGCTGTCCACAGATCTTTTTCTCACCAGGGATTGGCAGGGGGTTATCTACTCAGGGAGTTCCTGGCAGCGGGGCCAAAGTGGAACAGGAAGCTGAAGGGAGGCAGAGGAGGAGTCTGGAGGGGCACAGGCTCCTTACTGTGAATCTCTATGAGTTCAGGCAGGTTCGGGAAGAGCCGGGCCAGCTCCTCCCGGGGCATCAGGTTCTCCTTCTTCATTCGCTGGTAGAAGATCAGGTCCAGGACCCGGAGTGTGCGCAGGTGGGAAGCTTCAGTCACAAACAGCTCTGAGTGGTGGTTGTGACAAGAAGGGTAGAAAGCCAGGGAGAAAATGGATCAGCAAGTATCTAGAGTCCCTGCCTGGTTCCCACACCACTCTAATTTTGGGGGAGCTTGAAGTGCTGGTTTCAGATCATACAGCAACTTTTCTCTTACCCCAAGGGCCAGAACTGAGGGGGACCTATAGCAACAGGCAACATGGACCTGCTCCAGCAGACAGGGGCCCCCCCACCCTATTGACCTCTTTCCCACCCTTATGTCTTAGGCATCCTGGACCCATTCCCACATGTGTGAGCGGAGCTGGGGGCAGTAGAGCACGTTCTCACCATTTATGACCTCTTGCCGGTCGATCTCCCTCTGGGTTAGCCCAGCCACCACATCCTTGCCCACTGTATGCTGCCAATTTTGGGCATCTGGCTCTGGTTCCAGGTCAGACAGCTGGCCCAGATCATCCTCTAGGAGGTGGGGAAGGAGGACATCCGTGCAGAACCCCAAACTGGGGGACTCAATGCTCCTGGGGGAAAACAGGCAGCTCAGCTTCACTCAGGAGGAAGAACTCACATGGAGGGTTTGGCCCTCCCTCTTCTGCCTGACCTGCTTGCCCCATGCACATGGGAAACCAGCAGGCCCAGAAGAGGAGACACCCACCCAACCAGCCCCTTGCGGGTGACAGGAGCAGCTGGATGTGGATGGGACACAGAGACACCAGAGGCACCACTGTGCCCATCACTTACCTGCGGCCCATTTTGGGAGTGAAGGGAGGGGTTGGGTTCTCAAGAGACCTGTGGAGGGAATGTCAACTCTCAGCAACCCTCTATCCTTGCGCCCACTCCCGAGATGTCCATGGGTGCAGCCACTGTAGCCCTGCCTACCTGGTGGAGAGGCTGGAGGCAGAGGACGAGGCTGACTGGTGCAGGCGAGTAGCCTCCGCAGCAGCATCCATGTCAACATCACTGCGAGAGCGGGGCACGTTCTCCGCCTTTCGAGACCGTTTCATCTCTTCCCGGCCCTTGAGGCTTTCAGAGCGGCCCAGGCGAATCTCTGAGCGTGAACTGGGGGAAGGGACAAGAGACTTTGGGACTTGGGAAGTCAGTGGGCCATGCTTACATCCTGGCCAGCTCTTACCTGTGACTCCATTTCGAGGATGCCTCCATGCCACAGGTTCTGCCCTTGAACATGGCCAAAAGCACCCGGATGGCAGTGGAAGCTTCTCAATGATAGACCATTTCTGCTGCTCTACAAATTCCTCTCTCCTCAGCCTAGCCTGATGGATGGACAGAGTCATCTTCCTCTGGAGTTATTAGGAAGGGATCCTCACAGGAAGATGAAATCTGGGGCTAATGGAATCCGAATTATAGTGTGTCCACAGGCCTGAGACACCATGCTGCTGTCAAGACATCGTCCCTCATCAGGGACCACAAGGTCCCAGCTCCCTGCCCATGGGGCCATCTAGTGGCCAGTCCAGGTTGCCCTGCTTTGGAGTGGGTCAGCTGCCACCTTTAACTCTGCTTGAGGCGGACCTCTTTGAAGAGGTCTTAAGAGGACAGTAGAGTTACTACATTCACAGCTCATTTTAGGATTTTCCACACGGCCTGTCAGAAAGTTCTATCTGCTGCTGGATTCCTAGCCTTCCAGTTGTGATGCGATGAGTTCCATTCTTATCTTAACAGTACCGTTCCTAAGATTCCATTTCCTCTCAGGAGCAGACAGGCTTGTGCTTACAGGGGCCTTTTTACTGACAGGCAGGACCCGCTCCTTGGCCTGCCATGCTTGGCTACTGGGTGTCTCTGGGGTTTGATGAGATGCTGATGACTGGGTGTTGCAGTCGAGTCCTGCTGTGCATCAGCCTGAGACAGCTGGCACCTCTGACCCCTAGCCGCCCCAGGATGGTGCCCCCACCTCCATGCTGTGGCCCTGCTGGGCTGCTTTTCTGATATTATTAGTAATCTACATCCTGCTCTGCTTCTAGGACCACAGGAGGCCTGAAAATGTCTGCAGAGCTCTTAATAGCACAGCAGGTTGCCGCAACGAGGAGCTAAATGTCTCGGTCTCCATTCATCGTGCCCAAACCACCGGATGATCCAAAATGGAGCTCATCTCCTAGGGTCCTGAGGGTTTCATCTGCAGGGTTAGAAAACGTACTGCCCACTGATCCCTTACTGAATTCACCCCCCAGAATTCTGCTAGAACAATAGCAACCCAGACTAACTCAGAACACTTTTCAGTGTCCTAATGGGTCACTGTACCAGCACAATAAACACCCAGTGGAGCTACTGGGGCTGCAGAGCTAAGCACCTTCCTTCATGCACCCAGAAGTAAGTAATGCTCCCACCAAGAAGTGAGGCATATCGTCTAGCTTTGCCCCCAGATTCCTAGGGTACTGCCTTCTCAAACTGAGGCACCTCCTAGGGTACTGCCTTCTCAAACTGAGGCACCTTATACCTGTTGAGTATCTACAACCATCTCTGACCCACCATACTGCTAATACTGTTTCTTCTGAGATTGCCAATGAGTTTATAATCATCAAATCCAAAGGTTTTTGCTTAGAGTAGCTTTAGGATCCTAGTGAGTGTCTTAGGGCAAATTTACCTAGCAATGCCAAGAATGCAAATTTGTAAATGGTCTCAAATATTTTCTCAAAATGTTGATGTCTTATAATCTTAAAATATCTGACTTATCTACGATATCATTGCTACCACAGGAATCACATAATGTGCATATTTAACTTACCCATTAATGTTAGAACTCAACCTTCCCCCAGTACAAATCTAACCTTTATCTCCTGTAAATCTGTCAGTTCTCATGGCAGCAAAATCTTTTGACACGTGTTAATCTGAAAAAAGGCTTCATATAAACAGAAAGGAGTAACCTGCATTCAAGCAGGAAAGCTTGGTTTATGGTTTGATAATTAGTTATTTCAAAGGCAAAATAGGCCAGGGGCAGTGGCTCATGCCTATAATCCGAGCACTTTGGGAGCCTGAGGAGGAAGATTGCTGTGGTTGGGAGTTCCAGACCAAGCTGGGCAACATAGTGAGACTGTCTCAAAAAAATAAAAATAAAAATAAATTAGCCAGGTGCAGTGGTGCATGCCTGTATCCCTAGTTACTCAGGAGGCTGAGGTGGGAGATCTCTTGAACCCAGGAGGTTGAGGCTGCAGTGAGCTATGATTGTACCACTGCACTCCAGCCTGGGTGACAGAGCAAGACCCTGTCTCTTAAAAAAAAAAAAAATCCCCCAAACAAACAAACAAAGGCAAAATGGCTTGAATATCCACACTGCTTCATACTACTTGCTTTCATGCCTGCCTGTACTCCAGCTCAATGCTCTGAGGCTTGAGTGTCCACAAGAATTATTTCCCCCCACACAAGACCACATTACTACACCTGTTTAAGTCACCTTTAAGGGTGGCACGAATACTTGTGACTACAGGCATGTGATTTGAAGTGCTGGCTATAGAGTTTTAGACATGACTTGACTGCTGTCATGCCACGATCAAGAGCAACTAAGTCCAAGAACATGTTTTCATACCAGATGAGGACTCTAGTGAGAACCTGACCAAAGAAGAATATGAGAGATGCCAGTCTCAATTCCCTTTTTTCTTCTTGAAAAGGGAAAAACAGTTCATTTGTAATCAATCCACTTTGCCTCTCTTTGCTGAGGCGGACATCTGATGCCTAGAGTTACATCACTTGTCTTTAAAGTACCCAGCAGAACTTCATCTCTAGCTCTCTTCTTCACATACAGACACGAAACAACTTTCTTTTGCCTGCCTGGGTCTTTTTTCCCCAGGACTCCCTCTTGCCCCCACTATAGTCTTCCTTATCCTTGTCACTTAGGGTTTCCTGATTGGCCTCTTTATATCATCTAGCTCGATCTTGGATGAAGGCTACTGAGTAGTCAGGTGATAAATCCAAAGGGAATTTGAAAAGTGTGTAGTTCTTGGGATGGAAGTCAGGGATCTGCTTGCTCTTCCACTGGCCTTTTCACCAGCACACAATGTGTCTCCTGAAGATACTGGGGGTGGGGAGGAGGTTCTGTAGATGGAGCCTTAGAAGCTAGTGGAGAGGGGTAAAGTAGCTAGAATTAAACCCCAGCATCAGCCCTGCCCATGCCCCACTCTTTGAGCAGCTAGTGAGTCCCATCCAGCCACTGCTACCTGTCACTCTCCAGCAGGTCCTCGGGAAAACTTCCGGTCGAGAGTCGCTGTGTCCCAGGTTCTGGGGCGTCATACTGCTGGTTGTTCTCAAAGTGCTGAATGATGTTCCTCACGTTGCCTGGTTTGACTAGAAGCAAAAAGAAAACGAAGGACATTAGGCTTGCTGTTCAGGGACGGCTTCTCAGGCCCAGACTTCCCCAGATCCCCGAAGACAGAGCAATGAGCAAGCGTGGATGAGAACAGCACTGGACCAAGAGTCAGGAGATGTGTTCTGGTCCTGGCTCTTCTATGAATACGTTTTGTGGCCCTGGGCAGTCACACTATCTTTCTGGGTTTATTCTTCCCTCGTGCACAAAATGAGAGGGTTTGGAAGTATATTTTCCATAAGTGTTCTTTTGGCTCTCACATTCTTCTGCTTGAAAGTCATGATTAGTAGCCAGGAATACCAAAGCACATCTACATGTAATTTGCCCATGTTGCCAAAATATATTAGGCATTTCTCAAATTTAAATGAATTTTTTGTTTTTCTCTGCCTCTCCTTCCTGTCCTTTCTGCCCTTCTCTGGCCTCCATCACTACAGAATCAGACTCTTTAGTACTGTAAGAGATGACCTAGGAGGAACAGAGGAGAGACTTCACTGGCATTCAAATTCCAGCCCCCTTTCAAAGCTAAGACAGAAGAGAGCTGTTCTTGTTCAGACAAACAGAGAGGGCAGATGGGGAGTGAAAAGGCACAGGTAATGCCAACTACAGCCCCTGGGGAACTCAGACCCAGAGTTCCGTGGCTCTCAGCAGGAGGGAAGACAGATAAAGAGTTCACCTTCAAGTCAACTAGCTCAGTTCTGAGCCCAGCGATATTAGAACAGGGGTGGGCTAGAAATGCTGGCTGCCTGAGACCAGTGGAAAGGACAAGGGGAAATGGGGAGGCAATATCAACAGCCCAGGGTCTGGGCCCTGATCCTACTTCAGAGATTCTGACATCTACATATACAAACTTACAAATCTGTCTCAAAATCTGACTTCCATAAGAAAACTTCTAAGTCAGAGAGAACAGAAAAAAATTTAGCTACTGTCTTCAAAGTTTACAATTCCACAGCCTTTAGGCAAGTGGCTTGGGAATATTTTTCTAAAACTGTGCAAGTGGCTGTGGGTGCACATTACAGGAGTAGGGGCTATTACCATCACTCTCACTTTGGAGATTAAGAGCAGATTTGCCTGTCCCAGCCTGAATGTGCATCTGGGTCTTGAAGCCATGCAGATGCCAGGGTCAGCTGTGCAGCCGCAGCCCTGAGCCGCCCTGGCTGGGTGATGATGTGGGAGCCTGGGAACATCCTATAACTGAAAGCCAGCAGGCTGAGTCTACTCTTCCCTTTCCCATGGGTCACTTGGAAAATGCTCAATTATGTTCTAGATAGAGTTACACCTTAGCTCTGGTAAAATACAGGCGTAGCCCTAAGAGCTGGTATAACTGAATGACCCAGAGTAACAGGGGAAAAACAGGTAGAAGGAAATGGATTTTTAAAAAGAGCAAAGTGGCTAGGCACACAGTGCCTCATGCTTATAATCTCAGCATTTTCAGAGGCCAAGGCAGGAGGATCGCTTGAGCCCAGAAGTTTGAGACCAGACTGGGCAATATAGTGAGACCCTCTCTCTACAAAAAATAAATTAGCCAGGTGTGGTGATGTACACCTGTGGCCCCAGCTACTTGGAAGTCTGAGGTGGGAGCACTGTTTGAGCCAGGAGTTCAAGGCTGTAGTAAGCTATGACTAGACCACTGCACTCCAGCTTGGGTGACAGGGTAAAACCCTGTCTCAAAAAAAAAAAAAAAAAAAAAAAAAACAACCAAAAAAACTGAGGACTGGATTTCAAGGCCATTCTTTATTTCCCCTTGTTTTATAAACTTTTTTTTTCATTAATTCCTTATTTTTATTGCTTAAAATGGCATACAGTCTAGCAGTTTAGTAACTTTTAAATTAATTTTGAAGATAATATTTTTAATTTTCACTTTTATGTAAAATAAATTACACTAACAGAATAGTTTCCAGATTGCATCCCATTGCTATCTCACTATCTCTCTCTCTCTCTTTATTGTTGAACCTACAAAGTGTTAATCAATTGCATGCATATGGACCTTATTAACAGGAAATGAACTTGCTCAATTCTGTGACATTTCACTGTAGGCTCTAAGCTTCTTATGGATTAATGTGTATCACATTAATGTTTTAAATACACGGATTTTGGAAGATACTAGGTCCTCTAAAATACATTTAGGGTCATTCTTTTTTCACTGCTGTGGTTATACAGTGCTGGTAGTTAAACGTCAAAAGAGATGGAGGTGCTATACTGAGGGGCTTAAGTAGATGATACGAACAAAAATACCCAAGAGAAAAACTGTTAGAGACCCATACTTTACATTTAAAAAAAAATCACCTTCGAAAATGATATTTTTATTATTTTAACTGAAAACAAAAATCTGAGGCATTGACTGGGTGCGGTGGCTCATGCCTATAATCCCAGCACTCTCGGAGGCCAAGGCGGGCAGATCACCTGAGGTCAGGAGTTTGAGACCAGCCTGGCCAATATGGTGAAACCCCATCTCTACTAAAAATACAAAAATTAACTGGGTGTAGTGGCACATGCCTGTAGTCCCAGCTACTTGGGAGGCTGAGGCACGAGAATCCCTTGAACCTGGGAGGCGGAGTTTGCAGTGAGGCAAGATCATGCCACTGCACTCCAGCCTGGGCGACAGAGTGAAACTGTGTCTCCAAAAAAAAAAAAAAAAAAAAAATCTGAGGCACTTCTGCTTCACTGCAAGACCCTTCAATGTGTGAGGGTTCCCCTCACTTATACAGAACTCTAGATTTTTGGAAACTCATCATGGAGATGTGACTGAATTATAGAGAAAAGGCCTCAGGCTGTGGAAAAACTGCCAGAGGAACCAGAAGTCTAGTCTTGGCCAGAACTACCAGAAGGCGCTGTCCCTGCGGGAGAAGGGGCTCTGCCTCCTGGAACTCTGGGTTAGGAGACAAGGTCTCATACCTGGCATGAGGGTGGTGCCCTCCCCAACCACCCACAGGGTTTGCAGCACACAGCAGCTTTAGCAACAATGAGCAACACATAAGAGAAATGGAGAGAAGAAAGAAAGGGAGGGAGGAGGAACAGGATGGGAGATGGTGAGAAAGAAACAGAAAAGACAAGATTTGGGAGATGGAAACTCAATGCTAATGCAAAGACAAACCCAAAGAAAATGGTCCTTTTACCTTCCACAGGGGACAAGGGAATATGAAATGCTAAAAGAAAAACAAACAAAAACAAAAGTAAACCATGAAAAGTCAAATCAATGTTTTAAGAATCAAAATAAAAATTACATCAAGCCAGAAAATGAAACGGTAGTGGTGAAAACCAAGGCTGATCTAGAAGAATCCCTTTCCCTCTCCTGCAATGCAGCAATTTCAGAAAGGGCAGCCGGCCCACCCCACTACCCCTCACAGATTCCCATTGATATTGGGGGGCTTAAGGTACTGACTGGGAGGGGACAGCAACAATTTCCAGACAAATGACACACACTGGGAAGAGATCAATGATAGGATCAGTTGAGTTTTGGGTTACTGATGGCATTAGGGGAAGCTCTGGGACCCAAACTTGTCCCCAACCTGATTAGTTCTACTCAATAGTGACTCAACCATGCCCCTTCCGCATCTGTACTACTGCAGTCCTGTGTGCTGGGACCAATTATAGACCCTTGGATGAAGGTGAAGGGAGTATTTACTGTCCACAGGGCGATCCTTGCCGAGGGGAAATGTTTCTCACGTGGTCGTTTGGTAGCTAGAACTGCTCTGGGTTCCTAGACTAAGACCCAGGGACTGGTACGGTTTCCTTGGCTCAGAAATATTCACCTGAACCTCAGAGATCCTGCACTGGATTTGGCAAGGGGAGAGAAAGTGGCTGTGGTCTGAGTTTGGGTCTGCGGTTCCCAGAAACACAGGAAGGCCCTCTGCCAACATACTAGTACATGAAAGGGCTGAGGTCCCTGCCCAAGGAATGCCCAAGGCTGTTGCTCCCCAAATACTCACTGCTTTGAGAAGAGCTTTTGGGCTTCCCAATGTATTTGAGGATGGGGTTTCGCTTCTTGTCCTCCAAGGCATCCTTTTCTTTCTTGGAATTGCTGCTCTGCTGAGACAGGAGACACTGGGGTTTGGAGGAGGCTCTGATACTCAGGCATGGCTGCTAATCAATTCTGCCATTGTCCCCCAAGGCTGGCCCTCAGCAAGTAACTGGAGAGTTGACTCTTGCTGGTACCCTAACAAGCACATTCACCTCTGACCTGGGTTTGGAAGGGACTGAGAGCTGCTCTAGTCTGGGGGTTCTCACTGAGTCCACATCCAGGTGGAGGGATGTAGCCAGAGACCTGCAAAATGGCTTTCCTGACCTACCTCAGCACAGAGAACTGCACCAAGAGGAGATATTTTCCAGGACAGCTGTTACCTTCTTTTTATTTTTTTTGAGACAGAGTCTCACTCTATTGCCTAGGCTGGAGTGCAGTGGTATGATCTTGGCTCACTGCAACCTCCAATTCTTGGATTCAAGCAATACTCGTGCCTCGGCCTCCCGAGCAGCTGGGGTTAAGGCACGCACCACTACGCCGGACTAATTTTTGTATTTTAGTAGAGATGGGGTTTCACCATGTTGCCCAGGCTGGTCTCGAACTCCTGAGCTCAGGCAATCATCCGCTTTGGCATCCCAAAGTACTAGGATTACAGGCGTAAGCCACCATGCCTGACCCTCACCTTCTTGGTCTTAGGGAAGAAGGGTAGCCACTTGTCCTTGTCAGGAGCAGACTGGGCCTTTTCAGCTGTGTTGGAAGGTCGTGCCTCTCGAAGACGGATCCCAGCATGGCTCATGTAGGTATTGAGGGCAAAGTCCATGGGGGCGCTGTAAAAGAGGAACAGTGTCCTGAATCAGAGAGCTCAAGTTATCTTCCCTGTGTCAAACAATCTCTTCACCACCACCCAGTGGAGTGGGGAAGGGGTAGTTACAGGTGAAAGTATTCAAAGAAAAGTCTAAAATAATTAAATGGGACAGCAGGCAGAAGCTGGCCAAAAGTTGGACTGTGACCTTCTCCACACAGTGAGCCCACAGGTAACCAAGAATAAGACTTCTCCCAGGAGAAGTCTTACTCTTTCCCTAAGCAGAACTCTTCCCCATGAGCAGATGATGGTCAGTGGAAGAACACGCCAATTCTCTAAAATATAAGTAAATAATTTCCTGCCTGGTCAAGACACAGGCAGACGTGGAAGACCGGCTGAGGTCTGCAACTGATACTCTCAGGTATATGTGCAGGGGTGGGGGGGCCAGGGGAAAGGAGAAATGCCAGCAGCCTCTGCCAAGGTATACTGCCTTCACCATCCTCCCACCCCAGTACAGAGAAAAAGAGATGGACAAGGAGCTGTCAAGTGGCTTCCAACTGCCACAAATGAAAATGTCCAGAGTTCTGTTTAAAAATGTCTTTGTATCCACAATTTGCTGGATGGATGATGACCCACTCTGCATTCAATGCAGCAAGGCTTTAGCTCTGTCTGTATTTCCCTCTAAAACAGACTCCTCACCCTATTTTCTCTCCCTTATGAGTGTGTATGCTCAGGAAATGCAGACTCATTTTAATCTTGGCTAATGAAAAACAATGAGATAAATATATAGGCTGCAAAAAAAAAAAAAAAAAAAAAATTCTAATATGTGCCAAGAAAGGAACTGTGCTGCACACCAGCTCCCCTCTGCAGATGCCACTAACAGGCTGATTCCACAATTACTGTCACTACTTTAGGTAGTTTAAGGGAAAGAAGTGAGAAGGGAGACAAAGAGCTCATCTGGGTAGAGAAGCTGCAGCCAGGCATGGCACTGTGAGGAGCAATGGCAGCTTGGCATCTTCCCACTGAGGAACAGATCCACATCCCCAGGGGTGATCCCTAAGCATCAGGGGCGTGGGCCTCATGAACCCTATGTTATGGTCACATAGACACCTGAGAGCTAGATTTGCAGGAACCACGGTCCTATGTGGTTGTACAACATGAGGGACTCCCCTGTGATTGTCAGAAATAGAAAGCATAGTAGCTCATCCCCACTCCTTCCACCGTGAAAGCTGCAAATGCACATCATAGACTTGCTTACCTCCTATCTTCCTCATACTTGGACCTGGAATGAAAGAAAAAACAGATGACTCAGACTGCAAAGACAGAGGCTGGTCACCTGGTTAGAGGCTAGGAGGAGGGTAACTTTTTCCTAGATGAAAGGAGGGTTAGTGGGGGAAAAGGAGAGAAGTACGTTTGATGCACAAGTATTTGGTACATAGCAGGAACTCCATAAATATTTGCCGAGTTGAAATATCAGCCTTAGCAGAGACTGCATAGGTTTCATCTTCTTTGCTATTTTTACCCTGTCCTTGAAGTGCCTGGCTGTGCCTATGGATCTGACTTGTATGGAATGGCTTAACCAAGGTCACATAGCTACTTAGTAAGAAGCAGTATTAGGGAAAAAAATTACTTCTAAGCCTGAAGTGTCCCCACAAAGTCTGTGATACTGGGGCTTTCATCACAGGTGCCTACGACACTTTCGAAAATGGCGTTAGAAAAACGTAACAAAAGCAGCTGTGCCAGAAGCGCCTTAATATGTTGCGCTAGTTCAGTTTTCTGATGTGGATTAGTAAAAGATGGTTCAGTTTCCCCTAAGCCAGTTCTAGCTGCCTCCTGAAGGAACTTTATCCACTGGGCACACACAGCACTGGCCTCACTCTCCGTGACAGATAAGATCTTAGAGGCAGGAAGGGAGAGAGGTCAGGAAGCGGGCCAGCAGGGGAAAGCAGAAAGCTTACCACATTCCTGGGGCCCATGGTCTGTCATAACCACCAAATGACTATCAGGAGCTGCAGGCTCTGCCACGCCCTTGAACACCTGCAGCCCTCAGCCTGACCAATGCAGCAGGAGGGCACGACTCCCCATCTTTCAGGGGCAGGAGAATCAGGCAAGCAGTAGAAGAGGGGGAAGAGATTGAAAGAACAGACCCACAAAATATGTCAACCTGCTTGGGACGTTCAGTGGGGTGGGAGGAAGCTGAAAGACTCACAAAATATCTCCAAGGGCAGCCAGCTGCTTCTCAGCCACTTGGCGCTCTCGGAGAGGGTCCCCATCCAGGTCCAGCAGGTCATTTTCACCATACAGGCTGCCCAGCCCCAGAGTGCGCTTCGTTCTAAGCCAGATAAACACGGGGAAAGAAAGAAATATACACAAATACTCAACAGATGGATACCCAGAAAGAACGAGGCAAACATATAACAAGAGATATGTGCACGTCCCAGAGGGAAGGAGCCAAGGACAAGAGGCGGAGGTGCAAGGAGAGTGGTGGGAAGGCAGCTCCTGGGCCAACCTGTAGTCGTGGATCTGCTCTTGGATCTCAGGCATGGCTGCCTCTTGAGCTTCACAGAGAACACCACGGGCATCCTCGCTGTTCCGCAGGCGCGAGTCTGTAGTGGGAGACCAGAGAAAGCAGAGTGGGTAGGGTACTGGGGGTGGGGGGAGATCACTTCTGCTGAGCATCTCAAGGCATTTCAACTCCCTGTGACACTGGGAGGAAGGGCTGGCTTTCTGCCCTGTTAGCCTAAAGGGAGAGAAGGCCTGGACCTCTCAGGTCTTTCTTGAATTCAGGACTGGAATCCTGATATCCAAAGTACAAGGCAAGGACAAAAATATTTTCTGGATGTTCTGTGCTCCATTAATAGAAGGAATAAAGACCCTCTTACTGGATGGGTCTAAGTACCATCTTCTGACATCCAAGTGCAGATCTCTGAGAGGCTTGTTCTCCTCTACTGCTCCAGAAGCAGCTCAAGGCTAAAAGAGGCAGGCACTTCACATTCCACGAAACCTGAGCTCCCCAATAGAAACCGAAAGATGTCTCTCCTCTAGTCCCCGCATCTAGCTCCACCCAGGCAAGGCTAAGTCCCTGAGAGTTGCGCTTTACTTTCACCCTGCTTTCGAGCAAGCTCTGTTCACCCTATGCCTGGGCTCTCCTCCCTGTCACACGTGCCCACAAATCATCTCTTTCTACATGCAGCTTCCAATTCCTGTCCTCTAAAAAACTGCCGGTGATTAGCTTCTCAGGCTGACATCACCTTAGACTGCCTCCCCTTAATTTTTCTACTGATGATTAGAAGGAGAAGGGAGCTGGGCACCATCTAGCCTGCCTGGTCCTCATTCTGGACTCGTTGCTGTCAGTATTAGGGAACTTACAAAAACAAAAATAAAACACCCCCGCACCCCCCCCAAAAAAAAAAAAAAACCAACAAGAAAAACCACTCTGGAGATTCCAACTCTGAAAGGAGGATGGAGTGAGGCCCTAGTTTCTGTATTTTTTGAGTTCCCCAAGGGATTCTTGATAACCAGCCTGGCTGAGGAATCCCTGATCAAGTCTGATTTCCTCTTTGTACAGATAAGCCAATGGAGAACCAGAGAGGTCATGCAGAAGGCTGGCAGACATGAACCCAGGTCTCCCAACTCCAAGTCCAATGTCTTCCCACGACAAGCTCCTCCCCGGCAGAGTGAGTGCCCAGGCAGGGTCTGTCCCATATGCACCTGTCCATAAGCTACTGTGCAGTGTTCTGGAGCAACCGTCTCATAGGTCTTTTCCTCTATTAGAGGATGGTTGCCCAAGGACAGGAACTATGTCCCTTCTGTCCTCTGGAGTCTCCTGAGAGCTCAGGACAAGAAAGGCACCAAGAAGAGACTAACCGACCAATGAGCCAACTTACCAATTTCAGCCTGTAACATCTCAGGGATCTTGACTCTCAGAGGCTAAAAAACAGAAGTGTGGAGCAGAAGTGGTCAGGTCTGCACACTCCAGGGAGATCAACAGTGTGCCAGGCGAGGAGGGCTTGCCCATATGAACTTCTTGCCTTTCTGTCTACATCTGCCTACCATTCTTCTCATTACTCCCCAACTGCACACCTGAATTCTAGGCTAGGGTTTCTGGGAAATGGAGTCTGAGGCTACACAGCAAGCTGGTACAATATTCTGAGGGCGGCACAGGCAGTTTTTTCACTCTTATTTCCAGGCCATTAGAGTGCATGGAATGGCATGTTGTCCAAAAAGTGGACCCGTGCTGACTTAGCAGCAAGGGAAAAGCCTTTATTGGGCTATTTGGTGGACTTTCCCTACCCCTCACTCCCATGGGAAAGCTAGCCTTGTGTCACCCAGCCTTGCAGTTAGCATGGTGTTGTGGTTTTTGCTACACAAGTCCCTGACACCTGGATACTGGAGAGGTTCCATAACAACCAACAGAGAACAACTGGCAGCTCTAACCTCCCTACTCAAGACCCATTTAAGAGGGCAAATATAAAACTCTTAAGAAAAACCAATTTTCTCCAACCTCATTAACCCTACTAGCTTACTGCCAAAAGAATAAAGTCACCTTGGAATTAGTCTAGTTGACCAGATTAGAAAGTCTGGGATGGCAATTGCCCTCTGCAGGCAGAGATGCTCTTGCCAGCGGGATCCCTGACACACCCCTGGGAACTCTGTCCCAATGCACAGGGTGCCGTCTACCCCAGACACTCTGGGGCCTCCCACCTCTGACTCCTGCCTTTGGGCAGTAATAGCAACTCAGACTGAGCTTCAGAAACCGGGGTTCTCCTCTTGCCTCACTGATCTAGACCATCTGATGTCTCTAGACCTCTGTTTCTTCAGCCTAGGGATGGGCAAAGCAGGGAGGGTTGCGGGGAACTGAATCAGGGAGAATTTGGTACAATCTTTTCCTCTAAACATTCCAGGGAGAGGCAATGTGTATTCTATATGTGGAACAAAAGAGGTACTGCGAGATTTTTGAGAGTAGCACTAGGAACAGAATCCAGGGATATTAATCTCTCAGCCTAGATTTCTCTTTAAGAACCTGTGTCCGTGTGACCTGAATGTTTTGCTTAATTTTCCCTGCCTCTGAGTAGTTCAAAGAATATAATAAAATTATAATCCAATCTATGACTGCCTTACCGCATTTTTCTCCAGGAAAATATTCCAGATGTCTTTCCCCAGGTTTCGGGAATCCTTGGGGCTTGTCTGCTGATACACTTCTGCACACAGGTAAAAAAGCTAGAAGGAGAGATAACCGGGTTGGAGCAGTGGTTCTCCCCCAACAGTGATTCTGCCCCCTAGGGGACATTTGGCCTTATCTGGAGACATTTTTAGTTGTCACAACTGGGCAAGTGTGGTGCTACTGGCATCTAGTGGGTATAGCCCAGTGATGCAGCCATATTTCCCCAAAGGCACAGAACAGTCTACCACAACAAAGAATTCTCCAGTTCAAAACAGTGCTGAGGTTGAGAAAGCCGGGGTCAAACTATTTCAGAAACCTGTGGCAAAATAATGCCCACCCCCTTTCCCACAGGCACATCTTCAACACTGATCAGTCCTCAACTCTGTATCCTCTCCACACTTGTGTCTTTGTGCTGGTTTATGTCTTGTTTCTTAAGGGTTCATGTTTTATTTCTCTTTGTGGTGTGCCCTGTCTTTATTCAGGAATGCTTCTGGCCCTTGGACTTGCACACAGGTGTTCAATCAATACCTGCAGATGGTTGTTCATTCTGGCTTCTGATGGTGTCCCCAGAAAGACAAAACAGCAGCCCATGCCCCAGGTGAGAAGTTTATTCCGAAGAATACAACCACAACCCCTCTCCTCCATCTCCCCTTCCTTTCTAAGCAGCTGAGCAGAATGAGGAAACTGGGAAGGCTGCTGGCTCTGAATATTGTCCGCGGTACTTTGTTCTCTATCCTCTCACATTCCTTCTTGTCATCACCTTCACACGGAACACCCTTTAAGCCTTGCCATCTGCAAGTTTTCTCACAGGGCCACTCTCTCAACTCCCTAGTTGGTCTGTATCTACCTTCAATTAAAAACTTCTAGGAAGAGCAACTTCTCCAAGACGATTTCCTGAACTGAGCAGAAAGAGAGGCTAGAGGTCCTCTCTGCCCAGCACCAGCAGGCCCTCAATCAAGACGGATGCTTCTGACTTACCAGTGGACTGGGGTCTGCCTGAGAGAAGATGTAACGTAGAAAAACCCCCAGGTGAGCTGGCCGAGACTTCAGTTTCTCCAGATCCTGGAATATGATGTCACTCTGGAAGGCAGAAGGATGAGCATGGTGGGAGGCCGGGCACAGCAGCACAGCAGGTTCCAGCTTAGCTCCCATGTGATTCCCCGTCCTGGGTTCATAAAGGAGGCTCCCCGCCCCAAGTTCCCTTCACAGCTGATGCTAGTCAAACTGCTTCTAGTCAAGAGAAGCTTGTATGACCAAAAAATGATGAAAGGAGAAAACTAGGAAACCGTTACCTCGTTGTTGAAATAACCTGGGTCATAGTCTTCCTCTGGGCCAATAATTAAAGGCTTTGGGCTTTGATCTACACCCTGGGGGAGAGAGTCAAGTTGTAGAGATGAGAGGTTATAGAGGACAGAGGATTCAACCACCTCAGTGAAGTTTGTTTAGCTGCAGCACAGCACTCACAAAGCCACCCGGGTCTGGTGAACGTTGGCATCTCACTCCCGCCCCCAAATCAGAGCACAGATGAAATGATTTCTCCACTTGCAGGAAGTCAACTGCTTCTGGGTGGGGCAGGGCAGATTCAGAGCAGCCTGGTCACATGACATATGAAGATGGGAAGTAGGAGAAAATGCTCTCTTCCTGTTTGCAAAGGTCTGGGGTGGGACTGTCAGTCAACAAAATAAGAGCCTATAGTTCCTGCTGGACTGCTGGGTTGGGGGCTTTGTTTTCCTTAACAGACTAAACAGCCACCCCTACCCCAAACACACATCCTCCAAACCCAGTGTCTACCACAGCGCTACTGAACAGTTATTCTATGCCTAGTAAGTACTGGTGGCTAAATAATTATGGGAGAGCCTACTAGTAGATCTCTGCCTCTCTGAACAAATGGAGATGCGGCTGATCTTTCTCTAACACCATTTGCATTATTTTGCTTGCCCGCTCAAGAATCTGTGGTAGATCCCCATTACCTGCCTAAAATCCACATTTCTTAGTCTGGCTTTTCTTTCTTTCCCCCTTATACTAATTTAAATAAAAACCTAATCCTAATGGACATGTCATGGATTAGGTATGATGAGAGAGACTTCACACTGCAAAAACTTCTCAGATGCTTCACTGCACAAGTTTTTCTCCTAAAGGTTCCTTGAGCTTTCAAAGCTTTTCTGCTAACTCTATTTCTCACTCAATTGGACCTCCTTCATTTCCAGTGATTCCCCAACAAGGTCTCTGCTTCTGGAACCCACTCAGCTTACATGTGCCTACTTTAACCCAGGCCTATGATACCCTCCTAACCCACTTTCTTAAGGGGCTTTTCCTGACAGTTCCTCTCTGATGATCCTCACCCCTTTTTTTGCTTTCCTGGATATTTATGGCCTCTATGCCCAGAATGACTGAGTCACAGAACATGAGCGGCCCAGAAGGTATCTCAGAAACTAAAGTCTAACACTCATTTATAATTGAAAAAAGTGAGGCCCTGACAGACTGACTGGCGTGCTCACAGCTGCAGAATCAGGCCTGATGTGCTGTATTTGTATTTCCCAAACACATCCTGAGTATCCTCCTCTCCTAAATACCCTAGTCTCTGAACCTCTTGGGGTCTGAGAGCCCCAGGAGGTGGTAGGTGAGCACTTCTGGCTCTACTGAGCTCTCTGGTGAAACCTGAAAAGCACTAGGTTTTTTCTTGTTTATGAGGAGGATTTTTAAAAAAAGGTCTTTACAAATACATATTCTTTCTGATTACAAAAGTAGAATATGCTTATTATTAAAAAGATCAAACACTATAGAACAACGTAACAGAAAGTGAGAGTTCCTTATGCATCCATTTCCCTGCTGCTGACAGTTTTATAGAAAGTATAGGTTTTCTTCCTATGCTGTTACTAACATTTATTATGATTAGGAAACTGGAATTATACTCTATTTGCTCTTAACACTTGAAAATAGCAACTTAGTTTCGAGAAGATGAAACAATTTCGAAGAGGAAAACAAGGGCTCCAAGACCACTGACCCCACACCTGCTTCTATGAGCCACCTGAAGGAAAGCCTTTCCTAGAACAGGATAGATGCCTGACCCCCTTAGCAACCTGAACTTGGTCCTTCAGTTCTACAAAGACAGGGTTATAGAGAGGGCAATAAAAGAGTGGTTAGGATAGGAAAGAGCTCTGTGTTGGGGCCCAGGAGAACTCAATTCTAGTTCTGATACCCTGCCAGTGACAAGGTTAGCCCTTGAACATTCCCTTAGACCACAGGAAGATTCCAATGGCCAACTTTTTTCCTGATTGTGAGAATTACATGAAATTTTTTGTAAAGATCTGGCACAGCAGCTGGTACATTAGGCATTTCAATACCCATCAGATCCCTTTCCCCATCTTCCCCCTCCACATTGTAAGACTAACCAAACTTTATACAATGGGTAAAATTAGAGTTGTCGTCTTTTTAAAATCCTATTTTTTGTGAATTCAGCAGCCCAACCAGAATAAGTTCAGAGAGGCTTGCTCACATGTATTCTTCTTTTGCACAGTAGCTCTTGATTAGAATTTTCCTTTGATGCCTGCATAACTCTAGATTTATAAAAACTATGTTCACTTAGGCCACGATCCTCTTTTCTACAGATCACACTGTGAAACTTCAGCTTCAAGAAACTTAGGAGCTCTGGATAAGTCCTCCCCTAAGATGCCACTCAGAAGACAATTTTGATTACTCCTATTCACTCATTCATTCACTATACATTATGAGGTGGCTACTATGTGCCAGGTTACCTACAGAGATAAAGCAAATAAAGGTGAGGTAAGCCACATAGGGAAATAACAGCAGAGCGATAAATGCTCTAAGAGAAACAAGATGCTACTTGGAACTCTGAACTCCAAGGTGAGAGGACAAGTTTACTAAAACCACAACGCCACCAAAGAGAGCTCAGCTAGCAGGATTATCATTTGCTCTGTTTTCTTCATTGTACCATTTCTCCCCCTTTATCCAAATTACTTTAGAGACCCCATGTTCTGAAGACCTCCTCCTGGACTCAGTGATTAATAGGCTCCCAGAATCAAAAGAACTCCAGAAAGTAGCTTTCATACTTTCTGCTGACCATGACTTCTAATAAATATGTTTTCACTGCAACTCAGCACACACATATGTAATGAAAACAGAAGTTTCACAAAGTTATACTCTTATTACATATGACGAATTCTGATATTTTCTTTTCATGCTATTAGATTCTACCTCATTAAAACAGATGCTGCTCATGACCTTCAATATTGATATCATGACTCACCAAAAGATGACAACCCACAGTTTGAAAATACCACCCGTATAACTCCTGACACCAGTGCTTTCCAGTGTGGGAAGTGGAACTCAAAATGATTTTAAGTGAGATGATTTCTGTTGAGGGTCAAAATGATTTTAGGTGATATCTGGACATGGCATTGAATAATACTGGCTCAGATTGTTTAAGAAAGTTAGTTTCTTTTCAGTTTTCATTCCATCCTTTTGATTCACCCAGGAAAAATTTCAGCCTGGTGCCTGCATAGCTTTAATACCTTTAACCAAGGCAGAATTGGCCTCAAGCTTAATTAAAGCCTTTGACAAGCAATAGAACTGAGCTAGAGTTTATTTTTCAGGTTGTTTTAAATGTTGTCTCTACATTTTGAGTAAGTTACATCATGTAGTTTACAATTAAAAGGACACAAAGGGGTAAAGATAATAAAAAGTCTTCCATCCACTTCATCCTCGAGCCACCTAATTCCCCTCCTCAGAGGCAATAACCATCAGTTTCTTCAACATTCATCCAGAGATGTCTTCAGAAAGAGGCTCCTTTTCCTTTTTTTAATGTCAATGGCAGCTTTCTTCTACACTGTTCTATATCTTTCTACGTAGAATTTAACAAACTTGGTTCAAAACTTACATTTAGGGTTACATTTACTCTGCATTTATAGTGTGTGATGCTGGTTTTCATTTAAGGTAATGACAGATTTCCTTAAGATTAAGTTTAAAGAACTGAGTTGGCTTAAAGAAAAATATTAAGTAACATTATACAGGTAGAACATTAAATATTTAGATGTCTAACGTTGTTAGACACGGTTAACAGTGTCTGAAAAACAACAGGCAATTCTCTGGCTCTCAAGTCCATTCCATTGCCAGACAGCCCAGCTTCTTTGCAAGCTGTTTGCATTAAGTCAAAACCCATCTTCCTGAAGTCTCTCCTGGATCTAGCTCTATCCTTGAGATCAGGGCCTTTCAAATCAGGTTTTGCAGAACCTTAGGGCTCCATGGAAGTGCTCTTGAGGGCAGGAGGAGGTTGATCAGTAAAGGTCCTAGGGGAGCTGAGCTTTGTTTTTTTTTTTTCTTTTCTATGTTAGGATTCCAAATAATAAGATTTTGTTTGAGAAAAGGATTTTGCTAAGGAACGGGGAAAATGAAAATTAGCATCCTGGAGAAACACTGCCTAAACCTATTTCCTATTCTGTACAGACAGAAAGACCAGCTATCCACTCCTTAGCTGTTACTCTTTACAGATGCATTCACCTACTCTCCACATAGAAACGGAGCCAGCCTTACTTTTATATCTCTATTTATGCCATGTTCTCTTTCTTTACTATTTGCTCTCTATGTAAGTGACTGTCTCAAAGTTTGGGTTGCTGAAGCAGGGGTTTAGTCTGATGATCCAAGACCATGTATTGGTAACACCCAGGCCTCCAAATCTCACTTCTGAGAAAAGGAAAACTGCAGGGTGACTCCGGATCACTCACCTGGTCACCGGTTGAGGGGACTGCTGCATCCGAGCCCTGCCGCCTGTGGTGCTGGGCCACCCTGGCCATGATCACAGGGGAGGTTCGAGGACTGTCTAGCCCAGGGTCTGACAGTATTGAGTTCCGATTCATCAATGACTAGAGAAACGAAGAATTCTGTGAGCAGGAAGACCCTCAAGGCTCAGCTCTTTGGTGTTGGTGGTGATAACCATACTTAAACATCAGCTGAGAGAAGTGCAGTATTTGCTCTGTGCCTGGTATTATACTAAGCCCTTCATTACATATTATCTCATTCGATTCTCACAGTAGCCCTTTGGGGTAGATACTATTATTCGTCCCATTTTCACATGAAGAAACTGAGACTCCAAGAGGTTATGAGACTTGCTAAGTCAGAGAGCTAGTCATGAAGTGTATCCTGGACTTAACCCAGGCAGCCTCAACCCACAGCACACACTCTTCATCACTAACTCCCTGGCCTTCCAGATAACATCAACTGTAGATTCTTTAGGATCCCCGTCCCACTCTACTTTCTTGGTGACTTTCCCACATACTGATCCTTTCACAGATATTTCATCATTTTCCCATGGACAGGGCAGTAAGAAAATAAAATTCCAATTGTTATCTAAAATTAGGTTTTTAACATGTTTTCAATCACATATTCACATATTTAATTACTCTGGCTGAGCAAATATTTTGCTAACTTCATTACTACTTCTTCCACTCATTTTTACTTTTATATTGCAGTTTACAGTTTACATATGCAAACTGAGAACACCTGGAAGAGATAACCTTCGGGGTCAAAACCTGAAATTCTTTTAGTCATTCCAGAAAAGACAAGCTATTTGAGAAGAAAAAGACCCACAGCAAAAAACAGATGACCACTTCTGAGTAGGTTGGGTTCACTGTATTAATCTAAGATGATGTTATTCCTGGACAGGTGGAAATGTGTTTTGGTCAAGTCATTGTTTTAGCTTATTTTGTCTCTGCTCCCTCACTCTCAAAGGCTTGCCACAGTTCATGCCATGGCCATCCTCTCCACCCTACTCTTTATATAACAGAGTTGACTATGATAAAATGAAAGCCAGATTTGATAGTCTTGCATGTTGGATGCACGTGAAATTTCTGCTTGGGAACCCAGAGCACAGTGATTATATCCTTGGAACTAGATGGATGGAAGAGGCACACAGAGTCCTCAGTGCAGCTGGTAGGCAGCAGAGCCTTGGGGCAAGGGAAGGGACCCCAAATGCAAGTTCTGAACGGGCCTTGCCCTGCTGGGACTCACCTCACTGAGGGAAGGAAAGCGTTCTGTCCCAGAGTCCAAGCCACTGTCCCCCTCTTGGGAATCCAGAGAGAGCCGGCCTGAGAAGAAAATAGTTTCTATAATACAGAAGGAGCTGTGGCCTGGGGGAAAGAGAGCCTTTATTCTGGGCAACTGTGCACAGGACAGGAAGGGGAAGCTGCCACCTTTTCTTTCACCAGTTTCCCTTCAGCTCTCTCATCCCATTACCCCTAGACTTGGACACTAAACAGTATACTTCTCCTCTGCTCTCATCACATCTAGCTTTCACCTGTCTCTGCACCTGGGCACAGGCCATGTCATCTCCTGAAATAAGACTCCATAGCTCTCTCTCACAACTAGTTTTGCCCCTCAACTCCTTCCCAACCCTCTTCTGGTCACCACCCATTTCTTCTTACAACAAATATTTGCCGAATTCCTTAGTGCCAGGAGCTGTCAGGCAAGCTGCTGTCTGAACCATACTCATTCTGGTATTTTATTGGCCCTTATCTATCCCGGCTACTGGCTATACACTCATTTCTACTGCCTAAGTTGTATCCAGCTTCCCTGTGTATTTGTACTGCTTTCTCCCATTATTCTGTTTCTCAGAGGGCAGGCACTATATATTTTCTTTCCTGGAATCTGCCCCATGGGGAGGGTAAATAGATAAGAAACCTGGACTAGAGATATGCCAGAGAAAAAGGGGGTGATGGGGGACTTACCTTCTGATGGTCTCTGGCTGGTGTCACCATATAGTGGAAGTACGTCCTGAAACAGAAAGGCCCACAGGGTGGGCAAATTCTGTGAGCCTCTCCCCCTACGGTTTCCTTCCACCAATCAGTGCCTTATTTGCTTACAATTAGTGGCCTCTTCTGCTTCATTGCCTCAAAAATGCCCAGCTAGAAGAGATATTGCTTCATTTGTACAGTTTGAGGATGACAATGACCCCTAATGGTGGAAAGGGAGCTTTACCATTAGTTAAATTCTAAAAGCCAGCTTTATCTAATCACCCTGGACCTCAAAGCATCTATTGCCTTATTTGGATACAAGAAAGAACTTCTTAACCATCAAGAAGTATATAAAAAAAACCAAAAAACAAAAAACTCAAGCAGGTGACCGAGGGAAGATACAAAAGGTTTACCTTTGGAGGTCTTTGAGGAGGATGGACAGGCATTGGCCTGAGACTGACTGAGCTAGTGGGATGTGAAGGAAGCAATATTGATAGTGCTTTGCTATTTACAAAGCACTTTTCTAAGTCACATTTAATCTTTCAATGGCTCTAGCTTAGGCTCATTACTCTCATGTTATAAATGAGGAAACAGAAGCTCAGACATCTTAAGTAACTTGCCCAAGATACACAGCAGGTCAACCCTAAGGCCAGGGTTGGAGCTCAGACCTTCAGATTCCAAGCTTAGTTTCTCAGACTCATCACCTCATAGCACAACCAACAGTGCAGTGGCGGCAGCAAACATGTACAGCCCCTGTGTCAAAGGTATGCTTTAACTCTGAAAACACTGTTATCTCCATTTTATAAATGAGGAAGCTAAGGCTCCTATGGATTAATTAACTTGCCCAAGAGTCTTTAAGCTGATAAGAAGTGATGCTGGATTTGAATCCAGATGGTCTAAGTCCCCAACCTGAGCTCCTACCTATCAACCGTGTAATATGAGAAGTCCTTCAGAAAATGAAGCAGTTTAAATGTATTTGCCTGTGTTTCCCAAACTTTTTTGATCTGGATATCCTAAAAGCAAAAGTAGATCATCTTTAAATAATTCCTATTGGCTTTGGCAAATGTTATTGTTGGAGACCTTAAAGTTTCTGGAGAGTTACTTCTTATTTACCCAAAGAATTAAGGCCTGATGGAGAGCAGTAAGACACTAATAGCCAAGTCCCTGAAGAGAATAGATAAAGAACCATCTACTCTCTGGAGTTTTTCACAAAATGTGGTTATCTGCTGATACAGATCCATCTCAACTGACTAGGGGTCTTTTATGTAGGCTGACTTTAAAAAGTACTTGTATTTCTTTGAGAAGACTCATTACTTGATGATGGGTGGTGGGAAAGGATACCAGATGAAATACTAGGTAAAACCAGTATAGGAATATACACACATCCACTATGAGGAACTACCAAGAAGGGAAGGATAATTCAGAGACTAACACTGACAGTCGGTTTATTTCATATTTATTTCCATTGCCCATGTTGTTGGAGGGCAAGAAATAGACTTTTTCTTTTTATGGTATCCCAAGTGTCACTACAGTGTTCAGCCTCTCTGGTGCTGACCTTGGTTTCTTTCTAAAATACTGAACACTTACTAGTTCAGCCTCGAGGTCCTGGCATAACCCAAGAAGCCTTCTGTCCTTGCTTCTCTCACTCTACCCCCAGTTCCACTGCATGTGCCCTTACTAGAGCTGTGCCTACATCACTCACCACTGAGCCACCAGTCTCCTGCTGGATCTTCAGCTGTAACTGAGTGACTCGCCGCCGGGCACCTTCGATCTGCTCTTCCAGTAGGCTGGCGGGGTTCCGGCTATAGACCTCACAGATACGCTGGGGATGGGTGAGGAGGAGAAGGGGGAGGGGAAAAGGCAGAGGGGTGGTTAGTAGAGAATGGATGACTCACCAGTGGAGAGAATAGGCAGTTATCCCAAAACAAAGAGGATAGAGAAGAAGTCTCTGCCTCCAAGTAGATGCAAGCTATTTCAACATCATTTAGGATCAGAAAAAGATATATGTGATGAGAAAAAGAACACAAGAGACAACCACAGAAAGAGGACAAACACAAAGGCCTGTCCTAATCTGAGCCATTCTTCAAAGTCTGCCTTAAGTCCCACATCCCAAATGAGGCCGCCTTCAGCTACCACTCAAGTATGAAATATTAAAGTGACTGTCCAGACCAGAACATAAAAAAGTGCTGAAGAGGGAACTTACACACAATGAGAACCACAAGAAATGAGAGGAAGCAGTGTCGACTAGAACAGCCAATGCCTCTGCCAGTCCCACCCTCAGGAAGCTCCTGGAGAGCAGGTACCATCCTAGCCACTTTCCTAGCACTCCTCAGGGCACACAGCAGGGGACAGCACAGGGGTGGAGGGCTTCACAGTTAGGGACACCTGGCTTTGAATTCTGGCACCTCCACTTACTAGCTGTATAGACTTGGGCAAGCTTGAATACATCCTCATTGATAAAATGGAGATGACAATACCCGCCTCATGGGACGGGTGTAATAGTGGAGTGAGATTATGCATATGAAGGGCTTAGCAGAACGTTTAGCGCAAAGTCAGACACCTGAATACATGGCAGCTATTAACATTTCATTACAAAAGGAGATGCTCCATAAAGCTTGGTTAAATAAAGACAATGGGTTCACATATTACCTAGGCTCATCTGGGGCTTCACTGCTACCTGACAACCATCTTACAAATTCTCCATATTTAATATTTCATCTTCTCCATGACCATCCAACTCCAACCCTTCCCTAGCCTTGGCAGATAATACCATCTGGTAAAAACCTTCTCAACTGTAGTCCATTTCAAAACATCTTCAGCCATCTTTTCTTCCTGGCTCAGAAGAGAAACTAAGTCTAAATCTTTTAAAAAGTTAATCCCTCTGACTGCTTTGGGCCCTTCTTGGGCACTCTTTACATATCTTCAAAGTCTCCTTTTTACCAATGGCTCCTTCTCTCCGTCCTACAAAATGTTCAAGTTTCCTGATTTAAAACAAAAACAAACCACCACCACAAAACTTTTTCAATTATTTCTGATGATTCTTCAAGCCACTGCCCCATTTGTTTCCCCCTCTTTTCACAGCCAATTTTTTTTTTCTTTTTTTGTCAAGGGATATGAGCCTGTGGGTTTCTGATTTTATTTTATTTATTTATTTAAATAGACACAGGGGTTTGCTATGTTGCCCAGGGGTCTTGAACTCTTGGCCTAAAAGTTCCTCTGCTTTGGCCTCCCCAAGTGCTGGGATTACAGGTGTGAGCCACCATGCCCGGCCCACAGCCAAAAGTTTCAAAACATTAGTCTACAGCTAGGGCCCTGCACTTCTTTGCTTCTAGTCGCTCATCAACATATACAATCTAGTTTCCTCCCATTACTGCACAGGCTACTTTTCCAAAAATCAAATGTAATAGCAAGTGGTGTGATATTAGAGGTTGGTACCATGTGCTGTAGAAGCACATATGTCCCAAAAGTCCATCCTCAGCTCTCTCCTCTCTGACTGGTACTCTGGGTGATCTCTTTCAGTCATCCAGTCCCCAGTTTCAACTACCACCTTCATACTGAGGATATCCGAATCTCTATTTCAACCCACGCTTTTCTCCTAAGTTCAGCCCTGTTATCTCCATATGCCTGGTGGCTGGTTTTTATCGGAATGTCTCATGGGCACCTTACACTAGTATACCCAAAGCTGATCCTCATTTCCTTCCCCTCAACTCTGCTCCTCTCCTCTGTGTCACTCTGTCACCGGTATCACCTGATCTACCCAGACACACAAACTTGGAGCCATTTTTTATTCCTTCTCCTTCACCAATGGATGAGTTCTGCTGATTGGCCCTCTGACAAGTCTCCCGTTGCTATCCTCTCCTTTTTGTTCGTACTCCTATCGTTCTTGTTAAATCTGTCATTATTGCTTATCTACTGCAATAGCCTCCTAGATGGTTTCCTTACATTTAACACACTTCTCCAAAGAACACTGGTTTGAAAATGTGATCAGTCCCCCACTCAAAATTCTTTGATTCATTCCCATAGACTTCAAAACAAATTCTAAGCTCCTCATGGTATTCAAGGCCAGTAACACCTTCCAGTCACAACACTCACTGCGTTTTTTTTCTTTTTTTTTTTTTGAGACAGGGTCTTGCTCTGTCACTCAGGCTGGAGTGCAGTGGTGCAATTATAGGTTTGCAGCCTCGAACTCCTGGGCTTAAGTGGTCCTCCTGCCTCAGCCTCCTAAGCAGCTAGGACTGCAGGCATGCACCACTATGCCTGGTTAATCTTTAAAATTTTTTTAGAGACATGGTCTGACTGTGCTGCCTGGGCTGGTGTTGAACTCATAGGCTCAAGTAATCTTTCCACTTTGGCTTCCCAAAGTGCTGGGATTACAGACATGAGCCACCACTCCTGGTCCCACTGCCATTTTCAATATTCTATTAACAGGATACTGAAACCAACTCAAGCACCACCTCATGAAGCCTTCTGATTACTGCATAAATAATTATGCTTTGTTTTGGGCTTCAAGAGCATTAAAATTTTTTTTTGTTATTGAGCTGTAATTCACATGACATAAATGTCACCATTTTAAAGTGTACAACTTAGTGGTCTCTAGTATATTCACGGAGTTGTGCAGCCACCCCCACTATCTAATTCCAGAATATTTCCATAACTCCAAAAAGAAAGCTGGTACCGGTAAGCAGTCACCCAATTTCCCCCTCCTTCACCCTCTGGCAACCACTGATCTGCTTTCTGTCCATGAATCTGCATATTCTGGACACTCCATGTAAGTGGAATAATACGACCTGTAGATTTTTGTGTCTGACCTCTTTCACTTGGCATACTGTTTTCAGGGTTCTTCCATGTTGTAGCATTTATCAGTACTTCTTTCTTTTTTATGGCTGAGTAAAATCCCATTGTATGAACAGACTATATTTTGCTCATCTATTCATCAGCAGATGAACATTTGGGTTGTTTCTACTTTCTGGCTATTATTAATAATGCTGGTATGAATGTTCATGTACAAGTTTTTGTGTGAACCTATGTTCTCAATTCTCTTGGATATACACCTGGGAGTGGAATTGCTGGGTCATATAGTATCACTGTGTTTCACGTTTTGAAGAACTGTCAAACTGTTTTCCAGAGTGCTTGCACTATTTTATACTCCCACCATCAGTGGCAGAATAGATTAGGATAGTGAATATGCAGACAAAACATAAACAAGTATTGTTTAGATTTCTCTACATCTCACACGCTTGTTATTTTCCATTATTTTGGTTATTCTAATAGGTGGGAAGTGGTAGGTCATTGTCATTTTGATTAGCATCTCCCTGTGAATAACAATGTTGGGCATCTTCCCATGCTTATTGGCCATTTGTATGTCTGTCTTCTTTAGAGACTGTCTATTCAAATCCTTTGCAAGTTTTTAAATTGGGTTGTCTTTTTATTGTTGAGCTTTTAAGAGTCCTTTATATATTCTGGTATTAGACCCTTATCAGACACATGAATTGTAAATATTTTTCCCCATTTCTTCTATGGGTTATCTTTATTTTCTTGACAGAATGCTTTAACACACACAAGTTTTAAATTTTGATGAAATCCATCTTTTTTGGGGGGGTTATGCTTTTGGTGTCATATCTAAGAAACCACTGCCCAATCCAAGGTCATGAAGATTTACTACTACCTAAAATTTTTTCTAAGAGTTTTACAGTTTTTAAAAATAGTCTTTGCTCTTACATTTAAGTCTTTGTCCACTTTGAGTTAAATTTTGTTTACTGTGTGAGGTAGGGGTCCAAATTCATTATCTGTATGTAGGTATCCAGTTGTCCTAGCACCATTTGTTGAAAAGACTATTCTTTCTCCATTGAATTGTCTTGGTACCTTTGTTGAAAATTAATTGACCATAGATGTATGGGTTAATTTCTGGAATCTGAATTCTATTCCATTGATCTATAGGTCTATCCTTGAACCAGTACCATACTGTCTTGATTACTCTGACATTTGCTAATATATAAATATAAGCACTTACCATAATATATTGTATCTTCATTCATTCATCCATATCCTATGAAATCACTAACTCACTAAGGGAGAGGTTCACCTCTTGTTTATCTTTGTAACCATTCCAACACCCACCCCTAACATTACCCCCATCTACTGCTCCAACACACACACAGTACCTAGCATATAGCAAGGACTCAGTGCTTGTGAAATAAATACATGTATTTTCATATCTTTGTGCCTTTGACCTATGCTGTCTTTTCACTAGCATTCCCTCCCTCATCTCTTTTGCCTACTAAAGTATCACTCTTCAAGGCCCAGCTGAAATACTATCCTCTATGTGAAGCCCTTCCCAATGTTTCCCACTATTAATTATTTTTTCTCTTCTTTGTTCCTTTATTGTAAGCTCTTTGTTCCTCCCACTCTCCCTCCTACTGTAATCTGAATTTCCTCCATTAGATTTTAAACACGTTGAGGGCAAGAACCATCTAATCTTTTTTATTTCTATATAGCCTAGAAACTAAAACAACGTTTTATATATGGTGGCACTTACATGGATAACTATAATAGGAATCTGGTTATTCCACTCAAGAAAATTCATCTTCTTACTGTTCTCCGTTCACATCACTTCCTAGGCCCAAAAACTCTCTTCATCCTTCACCCAAGTGCTCCCTACCTCTTTCAGTCTGGCCCAGCACTCGCCTACCCAGCCCTTTCTTCCCTCTTTTCCTTCCCTTCCTTGGAAATGTCCCAGATAAACTCCACTGATGTTTTTTTTCTCTACATATTCACTATCTTAATCTATTACACATGGAGAATCCTACTCATTTTATTGGTGAAATTCTGCTTTAACAAATTCTACTGGCCAATGACAATCCTTTAGTGGTCCGGAAGTTTTATTTTTTGAGGTTTTACTGTGATAGGATATTGCCTGTAAATTAAGTTGTGTACATTGGCAGACTGCTCTGATAAAGTATTATTTCACTCAGGCAATGGCCAGTCTATCCCTGGCAGTGACCTTACCTGTAATTCTTTTTCTTCCTGCCTCAGCATATTCCTGAGGATCTGGGTGGCATGTTTTTGAACTTCAGGATCCTAGAGATGGAAAACATGGCAACATAAGAGTTAGGGACTAATTCAATAGCTTAACTCTCTTCTATCTGCTGATTCTTGGGCAAGGAAAGCTATGAGAGTACAGCCTGGATCATAAGTATGTTTTATTCAGTACCTTGATGGAATGCAGTAAACACAAAATCTTATTTCGAGTTTATGCCTCAATTTCTAGAAACCTTGGCTGTAATCACCTTTGGTATCAAGTTGCTCCCTAAAGTCTCCCAGGACTTGTGGGTTCAGTCTTCATTCCAACTGAAAAATCCTGTTCCCTATACTTGTCTGCATTTTGTCCCCCTTTAACTCTTCACATAGGTGTTTCTTGCTTCTAGAGTTCTCTTTCTACTTGTTTGTTTGTTTTTTCTTTGAGATGGGGTCTCACTCTGTCACCCAGGCTACAGTGCGTTGGCACAGTCACGGCTTACTGCAGCCTCTGCCTCCTGGGCTCAAACCACCCTCCTACCTCAGCCTCCTGAGTACCTGGGACCACACATGCATGCCACCATGTCTGGCTAATTTTTTGTATTTTTGGTAGAGACAGGGCTTTGCCATGTTGCCCAGGCGGGTCTTGAATTCCTGAGCTCAAGTGATCCTCCCACCTCAGTCCCGCAAAGTGCTGAGAATACAGGCGTGAGCCACTGCACCTGGCCTCTACTTGTTTTTGTCCTTTTCTGATCCCTCCCTTTACTGAGGGGGCTCTATATTTTGCCCCTCGAAGCAGGCTTTTTTCTCTAGAAAGCCTTTCCCCTACCCCTTGACTTTATACCAAACCCTGGTTAACACTGACTGGCAACGGTCTTGAACAGATGCATTCTGTCCCTGCCTGAAGTGTACACTCTTTCTCCGATGAGGAGCACTTTTGGACGGCATCCTTAGAGCCTTCTACACATTTAGGAAACAAACAATGTTACTGTGTGATAAAACCTCATATGCATTTGGATGGAAGGAGGACACTAAGGCACGGAACAACTGTTATTGTGCAGCCCTCATTTTTGTTCAACTCTTTCAATGGTCTTCCATGTGTCTTTTGGCTTGTCTCTGTTTACCACAGCCCCATTGGATTTAACCTGCTTTCCTCCCCAGTGCGGAGCTTTTCAACAGGACATTAGGGTGAGCAAAGAAAGCCAGAAGGACTATTACCTGTAGAGGTTTGGGTCCCGTGATGCGTTGTGGAGGTGGCAGAGGTGGAGGAGGTGGTGGTTGGGGGATCACTGGCGTGATTCGGGGAGCTCCTGCTGGGAATGGGTCCTGCTGGAGCCCAGAGATGCCCACGGATGAAGGTGAAGAGCCCAGGAGGGTGAGTGCGACATAGGCGCCAGCTAGAGGGAAACAGAGAGAGATTGGCTCCAGGAGTGCTGTTCTGGAGAGACAGTCCAGCTATACAGGAGAGGGCTGTTCTCCCTTGTCCTGTCATTAAACTCATAATTCTGTAGATAAAGTTCTCCTCACTTTTAATGCCCCACCCATTCTCTAATCCCTGCCTTCATGCCTTGTATTGACCCAAGTATTGCTTCCTGCCCTTCCTTCATGCAGAGACCTCAACTAGAATTCCACTCATAAGTATCTGGGAACACGCCCCACAGGCCGCCTCAGCAGCCCCGTTTCCCTCTTTATCTCACTAAAGTAAGTAGCCAGTGTCATGCTCCAAGCATACTGCCCACATGGCACAGACCAGGCACTCAGATTCTAGCCCTCTGCTCTCCCCAAACTCCCCACATTCTTCAATTCTCTCTTCAACATTTGTTGTTTCTATTTGAATATTTGTGCAGACTCAATTGTTGGGCCTTCCTGGCTATAAACAGATTATTGTTGCTTTTCCCTGCCAAATAGAAAACAAATGAGTAAGAATGCCCATCAGTGGCAGAGGCAATTGAAAGGTATTTGAGGGAGACCTGGTCTCAGTAGGAGTATGGTCTAAATGGGAGTGGCAAAGATGAATGTGGGTAAAAATGAAGATGTCTCATGAGAGCCTAGTACTGTCTCCACCTGAAATAACAGTGAATTGTGGCCATTTAAGTGGATCACTCCATGTTAAGATTAAAGATGTGACTTCAGCTGCCTCGCACATCTACAAAGGAAACCTCCTGGGATGGCAGGCCTGCCCTTTCCTCCTTGTTTCCTCCCTCTTGGACCATCTGCTCCCCTACTTTAGTTGTCACCTCTCTCCAACTCACATTTGATCAGCTTTACCACTTCCAGGTGTGAGCTATTGGTCACCATGGTGCCGTTGACCTGTTGGAGGGACAAACAGTATTGATTAATGGTGATGAACAGCTAGGGGATCCTTCTGTAAGTTCAAAATGCCACGTTTTTAGGAAGCCATTTTCCAATGCTCTTTAGCCTCCTCTGGTCACTTGTTTACTCAAATCACACTATGAATTTGGTCTCCAGCTAGCCTATGAGTTTTCAAGAATAAAACCTCTTCATTCCTTAATTTGTTCATTCATTCACTTATTTTTGGTATACACTTTTCTAACCACTTGCCTCACACACATGTGAATGTCCACTCACCCAATGTGCTTCTTCCTTACAGAGGACTAAGAAGTCTCTGCATCTAGGATTTCCTTAATGCGTCCCACTATGTTGCCCAGGCTGGTCTTGAACACTATTCTGTCGAAGAAAGGTCTGAACGACCAGGGCAGGTTATAGTAGTTCAGAATGAGCAAGGACCCCAGGTTGGCATTATATGGAGGAAAGAATATCAACCTGAGGATCGAAGTCTTGGATCCTTCACTAGTTACTAACCCTCCCTCTTAATCTTATTTTGGTAATTTGTGAAATGAGAATAATAAAACTTGTTGTAGAAGTTTGGTTGCTTTAGAGTCAAGAAGGGCCTAAAATACGGAACACAGCTATCCTCCTCCTCACTCTCTCTTATGCTATACCACTATGCTCACTTGCATGGTACCACTCCTCACTCAGTGGCTGCCTGGCAGTTGGTATCAAGATGAAAGTGTGCAGGATGGGCCAAGGCCAGGAGTGCCCTGCACATCTATTTCCACTGCTGGGAGTGGGAGTGCGTGTTGGGGTCACTCACTTTGATGATCCGGTCGCCCTCTTTCACACCGGCCTTCATGGCTGCACCTCCTGTAAGGAGAAGGCCTGGTCAGCACAGCCCAACAACCTCTTCCACTGAAGCTACACCAAGGTCCCTGTCAGATCACCTCTCCTCTGAAATTTCCTCTTATTTCTCTGTGTTAAGTATCTCAAATTCTGGGTGTACTTCCTATTCTACTCCAGTGACACAAATACTCTAAAGCTAGAGTGAACTATATAAGGCCCCATCTCCTGCTTTTCCTTTCACCAAGATGCCAGACTTCTAATAGCCCGGCCAAGGCAGGAGCGAGGCAGGGCCAGGCTCTGGAAAGAGCACGTGTGTTTCACTCGAATGTGTCTGGATATGCTCCAAGGTCAAATCAGAGTTACTTTTTATTATCCGGGGCGGGGGGGAAATGAGTTTACTGTATGAAACGTAATTGTTAAAATAATAATTAAGAGAAATACAGAGAAAAGGATTAAAACAAGAGTTTCCTAAGTCCTGAGAGGTTCATAAAGATATTCTGGGTGTTCACATCATTAAAGATAACTGTTTTATTTCTTTTTTTAAAAAAACTGTTTTAAGCCATTTACAGTTTCTCTGCTCCTTTATTTTGTAGACAGAGTCTTGCCCTGTAGCCCAAGCTGGGGTGCAGAGGCATGATCTCAGCTCACTACGGACTGGATCTTCTGGGTTCAAGTGATCCTCCCAACTCAACCTTCCAAGTAGCTATGGGACTACAGGTGTGTGCCACCAGGCCTGACTAATTTAAAAGAAAAATTTTTTTTTTTTTGGTAGAGATGAGGTCTCACTACGTTGCCCAGGCTGGTCTTGAACTCCTGGGCTCAAGTGATCCTCCTGCCTTGGGCTTCCCAAAATGCTGGGATTATAGGCGTGAGCCTCCATACTCAGCCCAGTTTCTCCCTTTAAAATGGACCAAATTAAGAGCTTCTGATGGTGACTGACTGTGAGGTGCTCAAAAGAATATGCTCTTGACTTTTTTAACTTGTTATTCCACTGGAGGCTACAGTGGTTTTGACCACAATATGCTTTGTTTGTTTGTTTTGAGACAGTGTCTCACTCTGTCACCCAGGCTGGAGTGCAGCGGTGTGATTTTGGCTCACTGCAGCCTTGACCTCTCAGGCTAAGCGATCCTCCCACCTTGGCCTCCGAAGTGGCTGGGACTACAGGCATGTGCCCACACACCTGGCTAATTTTTGTATTTTTTGTAGAGACAGGGTTTCACCATATTGCCCAGGCTGGTCTTGAACTCGAGCTCAGGCAATCCTCCTGGCTTGGCCTCCCAAAGTGCTGGGATTACAGGCGTGTGTCACCACGCCCAGCCTCATAAGATAGTTTTAAATGACTTATATTCCTAGTTTAATTTACATCCAGGAAGCACAAAAAACACTAAAGCCAAAACAAGTTAATGAGAAGCATAAAAATTACATATTGTACATTTGCCCCAATGTGATCATTAAATCTGTAAGTTGCATTCCTCTGATCAAAACAAAACTCCCACAAAGCCCATCTAAATGTTTCTACTTTAAAAAGAAAAATACAGTGATGACTACATTCCAATTTGGCTTTTCAATACTGGGACTCAAGACTACCCTCATCTAAAGTGTGCTATTTATGGAAGAGTACTTGCAAATAGCTTAAAATTCCCTCTTATACATTCATTTAGAAACTAACATTAAAGAGAACAGAGCTATCTCGCCTGAATGTATGAAACACATGAGGTGACTTCTAGTAACTTAGTGTTTAAAAAAAAAAAACTAAACTCTTCAGAGTAAAGGAAATTGAGAAGTTCTCAGACTTCAGCAAGCATGAGAATCACTGTGGGAATTTTTTGCCAGAAAGCAATTCAGTGTTTCCGAGGTCAGCCCCAAGAAAAAGGATTTCAATCATCTTGGGCTTAGGTGATTCTAATACAGGCAGAACACAGATTATACTTCGAGAAACAGTGAATTTAAAAAACCTAATATGTATCTGGAAAAGATAACCGCTGCTTTATTACTCTTGTGATTTCAATGCCAATCCGAATGAAGTCTCTTCTACTCTCCTCCCCAACACACACACACACACGCACGCATGCATGCACACACAACTCACACACACACAGACTCTAGAACTCATATTCTCCTTGTAAGCCATCTTTTCCTTCTTTCCTCTCTGGGTCTGACTCTGCTCAGCCTAAGAAAAGGAAGAAGGTAAAGGAGAGCTGAACCTAGACTTCGCTGGAGGGGATCCCATATTTTCTGTACCAGATAGACCGGCAGAGGAAAAGTACAAGTTACTGGCAGTTCCACTAACTCTATTTCACCCTAGTCCAGGAACCCTGAGAAATAAGAGAAGCAAAGAATAAAACTATCTTTTTAGAGCTTCAGCCCAGGATATGTAAAACAAACCTCCCACGTAAGTTTACTCCCAAACATAAGAAGCCATACTTATTTATATCCTTATATGATCCACATACCTCATTTTGGTCATAAATTTGAAATTCTCTTTTCATCTTTCCTGTGAACATATCCCATATCTTCCTCCAAAATCAATGCAAGTCTATTTTCCCTCCTGCTCTGCACTATCAGGAAACCTGCTCCCAATCCTTTCCTTGTGCTCTTGTCTAAGCCAAGCCTAGGATGTTCCATGTCACCAGCCCAATGCTACTTACTGCACTGAAGTTTACTCCTTTTAGGGACACTTCTTTACCCTTTAAGGACTCTTCCACTCCCATTGCCTTTTCTTTTTTTTTTTTTTGAGACGGAGTCTCGCTCAGTCACCCAGGCTGGAGTGCAGTGGCACGATCTTGGCTCATTGCAAGCTCTGCCTCCCAGGTTCACGCCATTCTCCTGCCTCAGCAGCGGATGAGTAGCTGGGACTACAGGCGCCCGCCACCACGCCTGGTGAATTTTTTTGTATTTTTAGTAGACACGGGGTTTCACCATGTTAGCCAGGATGGTCTCGATCTCCTGACCTCGTGACCCACCCGCCTCGGCCTCCCATATTGTTGGGATTACAGGCGTGAGCCACTGCGCCCAGCCACCCATTGCCTTTCTGATTGTCTTCCTCAGCCTGGACCACCAACAATGGTTCCACTACCTGGCATATGCTAGAGTTTTGACTGTTCACGCCCCTTCTATACACAACTGGTAACTGGATGGATTTGGCTATGATACCCACCCACTCTTCATTTCCTTCCCACCAAATTCCTATCCTGCTGATCTGCTTTTCATTTCCATCTTTCAAACTACTTCTAAAAATCCTGTTTCTTTTAAGAGGGCTTCCCAAATGATCACAAGGAAAATGGCTATGCCTCAAATCACAAACTACTCAAACTTCCAAACACCATTTCCCCTGACATCACATCCAACATATATCATTCATCTGTTTGTAATTTATTATTTAATGTTAATTGTATCAGCAAATGTGCTCTGTACTCATTTGGACCATTGTGCCTGTCTCAGGTTATAAAACTGTAGAAAGTGACCATCTGTGCACTTAGCCAGGTAATGTGGAGGTAAATATGAAGAAAGGGAGTCTTTGATTCTTCCACAGAATCTTGTGACATCTTCAATGGCAATCAGACATCTGCCTGATGATGACCTGACAGCTATTTTGCTGGTTTTTCACTTCCCAGCCAGGGAAGCAAGCACAAGGTGCAATCTCTAGAAATTCTGCCTGGGGGCTTAGCATTGAAGAGGCTTCCCCAGGCACCCATGGAGAACCAGTTCTAGAGTAATTCATTCATGCCCCACAGGAAAGCACAAGTAGAGTGGCACTGTCACATACATGGTGGCTTTGCAAGAACTGTCCACCGTGGGCAGGAGGGATGCAGCACTCACCAGGCTGCACAGACTGCACCAGAACAATGCGATCCCCACTGACTGTGAAGCCGAAGCCATGCTGGTCCTTTTGGATAATGACACAGCGTTGAACGAGACCTGGGAGGCGGAGAGAAAGGTTGAGTATGCAGTGTCATTGGAAGGTTAGTGTACACATGCCAAGACCAACCCAGGGAAGCCTCAGTGCCTTTCTCCTTCAAGAGCCTTTTCACATTAACCAAATTCCCTAGACTATTCCTGTCTAAACACTACTGCAATGATGCGCCTCCCTCGGTGGTTGGCAAAACCTATAACTTACTTTGTATTCCAAATAAGAAACTACCCTTCTCTGAGGTGCTAAAATGCTTGTCTCTCACATACATGTCTGTCCCTTTTGGTATGTCTGGGTGAGACTGGTCAAAGAAGGGGCAGGACCAGGTCTAGCCATCCTCCTGAAGACTAATATTATCGATAAGGAGCCTCCCAGGGTTGAAGCCCAAGTGAGCCTAGAAGTTACATGTTAAGTGACATCCAATGAATGCAGCAAGTGGTATACCAATGCTTGTTGATTCTTTTTATAGAGCTGGGTAACTTATGCAGGGTGTCTTAGGAGTGGTCTCTTGCCAAATCCAGGGAAGGATACATGACAAGAAGAAAACCCTTTTATTTCGGAAATATTTTATTTTATTTCCGAAATAAAAGGGTTTTCTTCTTGTCATGTATCCTTTAAAAAAACATACAGAATTAAAAAACAAAAAGAAACAGAGGTTATGACTACCAAATGTCTCCATCCCTGTGAGTGTATACTAGACATTGTACATGTGTATGAGTGTGTGTGGTTGCATCCTGCAATGATTAAAGCATGGGTTCTAGAGTTAAAACAGAACTGGTTTCAAGTCCTGATTCTGTCCCCAATAAGCTTGCAAACTTGGACATATTTCTTAACCTCTCTGTGCCTCAGCTCCCTCATTTGCAAAATAAAGATAATAAAACCTAGTTTCTACGTTGATGTATGGAGGCAATTTATATAAAACCCATTAACACAATGCCTAGTATACATCATGTGCTCAACATAAACACTAAGTTGCTTTACATTTAGAGTATACAGATCTGTCTGTATGAGTGTGCATCTCTATATCCATGTGTTTTTTTTTTTTGAGACAGAGTCTTGCTCTGTCACCCAGGCTGGAGTGCAGTGGCACGATCTCGACTCACTGCAACCTCTGCCTCCCGGGTTCAAGCAATTCTCCTGCCTCAGCCTCCTGAGTAGCTGGGACTACAAGCATGCACCACCACACCCGGCTAATTTTTGTGTTTTTAGTAGAGATGGAGTTTCACCATGTTGGCCAGGCTGGTCTCAAACTCCTGACCTCAAGTGATCTGCTCGCCTTGGCCTCCCAAAGTGCTGGGATTACAGGCATGAGCCACCACACCAGACCATGTGCTTTTTTTTTAAAAAAAGAGATGGAGTATCACTATGTTGCCTGGGCTGGAGTACAGTGGTTATTCATAGGTGTGATTCCACTACTGGTAAGCATGGGTATTCTGACCTGCTCCATTTCTGACCTGGGTCAGTTCACCTCTCCTTGGGCAACCCGGTAGTTCCCTGCTCCTGGGAGGTCACCATATTGATGCTGAACTTAGTACAGACACCTGACCGGCATAGCACACTACAGCCAGAGCTCTTGGGCTCAAGCGATCCTCCCATTGATCTCCCAAGTAGCTGGGAATACAGGCAGGTGCCACCATGCCTGGCTGTGTTTGTGTGTTAATTCCCAAGGAGGGTACCTGTTGTCTCAGAGGCATCCAAAGGCTGGCGATGGTGAGAAGGGGACTTGCGCTCAGGTGCAGAATCTCCCAGAGATGACAGGCTACTTAACCTGGAGAAGGAGTAAGGAAAGCATGTCAATGAGCTAGGCAGGGAGGGATCAGCCTTGTAGTAGATGGAGGCTCTGTCGAAAGGGGCCCTGAGTCTTGGATAATGAGAGACCAACCTGCCCACCCTGTAACCCAATCTGGTAGGACATTAGCCATGTGTACACCACTGGTAACACAACCTATCTGGAATCCTGGGCTGGCAGAGCAAGCATGATCTCTTTAATACTCAGCAAGGTGTGAAGGGAAATAACCCTTCCTGGAGTCAGGCGACAAAGAGACAATAGCAAGCAGGGGATGTGCACACATATACACGCTTGTTGGGTCTTACCAGGCTGCAATGGGGCTGATGGAACAGAACGGAGCAGCAGAGAAAATGAATGCAAGAAAAAGACAGGAAAAAACCAAACAGCCAGTTAGTTTTAGGCGATGATTTGCAAAGGAAGGGGAGACTGGAGGGAAGGACCAGGTGGGTCAAACACACACAGAGGTCTGCATGAGCACAGCATGGGGCTGTCGTGGCGGCAGCAGAGACAAGCTCCCCATTTAGCTTCATCTCTTTGTCCCTCAAAGTTCCACCTCTCCATAGTGATCTCCAGGAGGGTAAATGGGCATGAGTACAAGCCTGCTGGGTAACTGGCAACTTGCACACTTTCTAGAAAACAGAGTAGAGGAATGGCCCAAGCCTCTGAAAATTCCATTTATCCTCTGGGTACCATGGGAGAACCGGAATCTGGTCTGTTTGGTGGTAGTATTCCGATCCCATATTCAGCTCCGTTCCCTCAGCCGGCCTGAGGCACCTTGCCTAATTGGAAACTATTAAAGACCCTAAACCTCCAAGTGGTACTGATCACCAAATCAAAGGATTCACTGCTGGATCTCCTCTTCAACTAGGACCCTCACAGGAATAGAAGAAATTTCAATCATTGCTGTGGCACTCCTTTTTGGAAAAGTGTACAAGTTGCCAGTTCCTGAATCAACAGTTGCTGCCCCTCAGAAAGGGGCAATTCCTATCCTACCTATAGCAAATGACTAAGTAGAAGGCTACTCATGGAAGCACTGTGTGTGATGGCAAAGCACTGGAAATAATCTAAATGTTCACAATGAGTGACTGGTTAAATAAATTACAGCAATATAATGACACAGAATTCAGTCATAAAAAAGAATGAAGAGGCTCTTTATACAGGATAGAGAATGATCTCCATGATATGTTACTGAGTGAAATAAACAAAATACAGAATTATTTGGACAGTTTAAAAAAGTGAGTAATGTAATCCCAGCACTTTGGGAGGCCGAGACGGGTGGATCACGAGGTCAGGAGATCGAGACCATCCTAGCTAACACGGTGAAACCCCGTCTCTACTAAGAAATACAAAAAAACTAGCCGGGCGAGGTGGCGGGCGCCCGTAGTCCCAGCTACTTGGGAGGCTGAGGCCAGAGAATGGCGTGAACCCGGGAGGCAGAGCTTGCAGTGAGCTGAGATCCGGCCACTGCACTCCAGCCTGGGCGACAGAGCGAGACTCCGTCTCAAAAAAAAAAAAAAGTGAGTAAAAGAGAGAACAAAATTATGTGCTTATATATGTTTAAATATTTATTTACATATACAAAAATATCTAAAATATCTCTGGAAGAATACAAAAGAAACATAACATGGTTGTCTCTGAGGAGGGAGACTGGGTGGCTGGGGCACAGGAATGGAACTGCAGGGTTTTATTATATTCTTTGGTACTTCTAAAGTTTGAAATCATGTGAGGGTACAAGTAACTTATAAATATAAAGGAGGGGGTCTTCGTCCCCCCTCACAGTGGCACCCCTCTTACCTGGACAGGTGAGACTGCTTTTTACTGGCTGATCTTTGGATCAGAGAGAGAAGGACATCAAGGAAGAAGAGAGTGTGGGCCCAGGAGGGAGCGATGCAGGACAGGAGGAAGAAAGAGAAAGAAAAACAAAATACGACATAAACCAGACAAGACACTAGAGATGGTTGGTGCAAAGAAAAACCACAACAGAGCCAAGAGTGACCCAGAGGAGGCACCTGGTCACAAGGTGAGCTTACTAACAGCCATGAGCTTACTAACATCCCCTGTCATTTTGCCGCTTAAAACCTTTTAGAACCTCCCCACCGTACTCAGGAGAACAGTCATCTGTCCTCAGCTAGGCCATTCACCACAGCATCTAACAGGAAGTATAATGCCTGATGCCCAGGGAAGTGCCCTTTGATGTTTTCCACAGCTCCCAGTATCTATCCTTTCTGCAGCTCAAATACCCAACTGAAAAAGCTGTTATTCACTTGTCTGTAAAGCCATACATGCAAAGTTGCAAGGTCCATGAAAGCAGAGAGGGTCTTGCTGCTGTGGTCCTCAATGCCTGATGTGGTAGGGGCTCAGTCCTATTCTTGGTCCTTGCTCTTTACTGTCCTCTTTTCACTTGCTATGGTTTCTGGCTTCTGTCTCTGTCTACACTGTTCCTTCCTCCTACATGTTCTGCCTACTTTATTCTCTATGACTGCACAGGGTTATCTACGCTGGGCTTGAACTCCTCCTCCTTCCTACCTAAAAAGAAAGCCCATCTTATCTTGGGACACCTCGGGCCTTCTTGCCTTGTTCTTGACCCCACCAGGAAGCTGGCTTCCTATGCCCATATTAAAGCCTAGAAGGTGCATTTGAACCTAAGAACCTGATATGGTTTGCATTTGAGCTGAGGCATAAGCAGTTCCACATAATCAAAGGCAAATGAACCAAAAGGTCCATGTCCCTGCTGTCAACAACTGTTAGGGGCATGGACAAAGACCATTTCAGCAGTCATCAAAAGTTTCTCTAAAATAAAACCACAAGCTAGGGCAGGTATGTGGGGGACAAGGAGATGGCAACATAAGTATACTTGCAACAGATGCATACTTTTTTTTTTTTTTTTTTTCCCTGAGAGCTTAAAAGAGAGAAAACTACCATTGAACTGAAGGAGGAAGAGATGCCTATGGAAGGCAGGCCTAGTGGACAGAATCAATGGATAGACTATTGTGTCAGCTGGGTTGTGCGTCCAAGTACATATTTGGGAGGAAGACCTTGGAAGGTTAAAAATCTGAGAAACAAGGAAAGGAGAGAGGAAGGTAGTTTGGCCTGAAATGGAGGCTGTCATAGATAGAAAAGACTTTAATGGCGGCCCCTCCCTTTTCCTGATGACATTCTCATCAAAATTTGACAGCAGAGCTCAGATTCTGCTCAGCCTAAACCTGGGGGTATGGAGGTGACCCTGAAGAGTGGAGAATTTCCCCCCAAATTTGTACTCTAAATGGCACCAGTGAGACAGATTTCCTGACCCAACTTCTCAGTTATCCCCTACTGCCAGTCAAAGAAATCCGTAGGTTCTTTATAATCTTTTCCCAGAGTCGCTCCTTTCTTTACATAATCATTGACAATCATCCCTTTAAGCTACATGTCTAGTGCCTCATGCCTGGATTACTGAAAAAAAAAACTTTTCCACTCTCCAGTCCATCCAGCACTCCACCACCACAGACTAACTTACCCAAATACTACTCCCTCAGGCCCTCTCATCAAGAACTTATTATCTACACAATCAGATGTGCCTCCAATAACCTGGTATTAAAGGACTTTCACCCTGTGGACCCAAATGTCTTTTCAAATTCATCTCTGATTACTTGCCTACTACCTACCTCTACTGGATCCTAAGCGATGCTGTACTCATTCCCATCTCTGACTTGATGGTTGCCGTCCCTTGTCATCTCTGTCCAACTCCTACTACTTTTTCAAGGTCATGATCAAATGGCATTGACTCCATGAAGCAATCCCTGACCACTGCAGCACACATTTCATTTACCCCAACATTTTATTTTGAAAAATGTCAAACTACATTAACATTGAAGCAGCAGCATGGTGAATATCTATATGCCCTTCATCTAGATTCAGCAACTAACATTTGTCACATTTGCTTTATCTTTCTATGTTTATACATTTTTTTCTCACTTGAAAATTGCAGACATCATGACACTTCACCCATATTTTAGCCTATATCCCCTAAGAGCACTGAAATTCTTCTATATAACCACAATGCCATCAGCACACCCAATGAGTCTGATACAGTATTATCTAATATACAGTACACATTCAAATTTTCCCAATTGTCTTATTAAGTTCTTTATAGCTATTCCCCAATTGCCTCAATTCAGGGGCCAATCAAAGATCTCGAATTATACTTATGTCATGTCTCTTTCAGATTAATTTAATCTAGAACCCTCCCCACTTTTCTTGGTCTTGTCTCTCATAACACTGACGTTTTGCAGAGTCTAGGTGAGTTATCTTGTTGAATGGCCTACAATCTGGATTCATCTGATGCCTCCTCATGGTTAGATTCATGTTAAACAGTTTTAAGAGACTATTACATAAGTGATATTGGACAGCTTGTCCCATTTTTGTGATGGTAGGTTTGATTACTTAGGTAAAGTGGTACTCCTGAGATTTTTTCAATGGTAAAAATCTACTTTCTCATTTGAATTAATGAGAAATCTGTGGGATGATATTTTGAGACTGCATAGATACTCTGTTTTCCAACATCTCTCATCCAACAGTTTTACTCTCCATAGACGATTCTTGCCTAAAGTGCTTATTGCACTGGTGCCTGCAAAATGGCAATTTGCTAATTCTATCATTCCTTCTACATATATTAGCCGGTAAGCTTTTACAAAAAACGTCATCTCATCTCTTTTCTGGAGTAGTGCTATGAACTCACAGATCTTGTTTCCCCCCCCAAAGTAATACATTATACTCTATTACCCTTAAAAAAAAAAAGTTTAAAATGTTCCAATTTGACCAGTGCGAGCTTCTGAAAGCCAGCTCCTGTGTCCTTTTAACATGTCACCATCTGTCTTTGATCATGTCCTTGCTTTCTGGCACAAAAAGGTACTCCATGCTCACCTTGTACTTTCCCTATGCCAGACCGGGAATCAAACATTTCTCCAAGGAGCCCTGTTCCTTTTAGCAGGAAATGCATTTAGCTAGGTACTCATTGCTGCTGAGCTGTCCCTCGTTCCAGGCCCTTTTAATGGACAAGAGCTAGAAACATTCATTATAAATTTTTGAGTTCACACTGGTATCTCCAATTTGAACTCAATACAACAGGGTTCTTCATCTTCCCCATTCCATACTGTATCTTCCTTTTCTCATATTGAGAACCCCGTTCCTAAACAATACCAATATATTTACTCACTGCTCTATTCAATATGCAGAAAAGATAGTTCCTGGAGTTACTACATCAATATCACTAGTAACAACAAACCTATGAAGTTCAAGGTTTTCTTGCAGTTCTTTTTGTCCTCAGACTATATCCCAGTACCATCAGTAATGTGTGTGAAAATTTCTGGGTTAATCTGTTGGGTTTTTTGTTTGTTTTGTTTAGTTTTTTTAGACAGAGTTTCACTCCATCAACCAGACTGGGGTGCAGTGGCACGATTACAGCTCACTGCAACCTCTGTCTTCTGGGTTTAAGTGATCCTCCTGCCTTAGCTTCCCAAATAGCTGGGATTACAGGCAAACATCACCACGCCTGGCTAATTTTCGTATTTTTTGGAGAGATGGGGTTTCGCCACGATGCCCAGGCTGGTCTTGAACTCCTGGGCTCAAGTGATTCACCTGCCTCGACCTCCCAAAGCACTGGGATCACAGGCGTGAGTCACTGTGCTCAGTTTTAATCTATTTTTATGTTATCAATTTGAGATATATTTAGGTTTCTTTTTATATTTGTACTGAATTTTAGGGTTTGCTTTCTTTCAAGCTTATTTATTTCATTTTTTGAATATATTAAACATTTACACGGTTGAAAATCAAAATGAAATTTTAAAAGTATATTCAGAAGTATACCTATTCTTTCTCTCCATTCCCCAAGTAACCATTTTCATTTGTTTTTGGTTTCCTTGCTGTGTGTCTTCTTGTAAAACTAAATAAATACCGATACATATTCTTATTTTCCCTTCTTCCTTACACAACAGGTAGTATCATCCCCTTTTGCGCTTTGCTTTTTTCACATACAATATCTGTAGAGTAACCCGCAGATCTCTTCCTCTTCTTTACAAGGCGGCCCGCATTGGCGCACACATTCTCCCCTCCTCCAAGGCTCCCTGTGTCAGTCCTGCCTATCTGCTGGAGGGCAGAGGTTGCAGTGTGGACTTCCCGGTATGCCTGAGTGCAGCACAAGGCACAAGCAGGTGCTTTCTAACTATGCAGCCACATGCTCCTCTCCCCAGCCTATAGGGTGGGCAACAAAGCAAGGAGATGCTTGGTGACCTTCCAGAGAGCCCACATATCCTTTTTGTTGGCCTGCGGTGTGTCTGTGTGTGAATGTGTATGTGTGTGTATATATATATATATTTTAAAAGTTAGTTGCTAAGCAATAAAATACACATTTCTGACTTATCTTGAAAGGTCAGTCAGAAGTTCTGGCATCCTCAAGCTTACGGTCTCACATAGTGACAATCAGCTGAAAATGGGTGGTGGCAGCCCTCTCCAGGTGAGCATACCTTACCTTTCCCAGTCACCACTGCCCTTAGCTTACACTGCCCACTGCTTCACTCAGACCCCTACAAAGTATACGAGTTCGAACTTAAGGTGGCCAAACAGGACTGGTTTCTGGAGTTTAAAGAAACAAAGATAAGCAAACAACATTATGTCCTTTCCATCTGTCAATGGGAGGTTCCTGGTCTCCTCACTCCTACCCCATCACAAATGTGTAAATGAGGACAAGGCCTAGAACATCCACATTCTGTGGTAATAATGAAGAAATTCTTACTACCTACCAGGTGCTGTGCTAAGCACTTGATACAACCTTATCTAATTCAATCCTCACA